CACGACGACCAAATCTTCCTCTTGGTTCTCGCATAGGTTTTCTCTCATCCGGCACCCCACCATCCCTGCTTCCATGTCAAAATTGATATCAAATCAAAAATTTGTGTGGAGAGAGAGGAGAAAGGAGAAAGGAGAAAGGAGAAAGGAGAAAGGAGAAATTGAATATCGACAGTGAGGAGATTGGTGGTTGATGGGTGTTTGGTTTACATGGTGTTTAGTGGTGGAGACATGCTTGTGGTGTTGGTGATGGGTAGAGTAGGCGTGAAGAGGATTGTGTTTGAGTGGGTTTCGACAATGGGAATGTAGAATCATATCCACCACATATGCAGAGAGAGAGAGAGAGAGAGAGGATTAAATGACTTCATTGCCCTTCAAACTTCCTCACATGCCACTCACTTGTTCTTTTCTGTCACTTTTTTGGATGACAATTAACAAGGACCAAAGTAAGTTAATGAGTTAACTTGGAGGACAAAGTTGACGAAATTAGAATTTTTATGGACGAAAGTGCAACAAGTGACAAACCTTAGGGACTAACGATGTAATTTACCATTTATAATATGGTTTTGCTAATATATTTACTAAATCAAAGTTTAGTGAAGATTAGTTGTTGGTATAATGATCATTGTCCTCACTATTGGACTTTAAGATCATAAATTATAATAACTTCATTCTTCTCCTCTATAATAATGTCTAAAAAACCAAAGTCTAGTGGAAATTGATTCACATTTTCACATAAAAATTTCAACTTTTAAAATTATATCATCAAATATAGTCATTAAACTCCCAAAACATATTAAAAAATATGTAAATTCATACAAGACATATTTAATAAACATGTGAAAAATTTCACACGAATACGAATCGTTTAATAAACGAGTAATATGACACAACTCATTTAACCGGTTTAGTTTTAAACGAATCGTATTGGGTAGAGTTGGATTAACATGGTAAACTACCTGTTAGACCTATTTACCTGTTTGTTTAAAAATGATATAACTTTATAAAACTAACAAACTACCACACAAAAATGTGATATTTAGAGATACCACACAATATTACAAAGTAAAAATCACAATTCAAAACAACCAAATTTCACTAACAACTATATTGTAAATCATAAATACATTCAAAATAACCAAATTACACCACAAAACAATCATATTACAAACCACAATCTTAAACAACCAAATTATACCAAAGAAACAAAAAATTCAATTCCATCAAATTCCACGATTCACAACATTCCATGAAAGAAATTAAATCTCCACCTCCACGACAACAAACAAATTCAATAACTAAATTATTAATAAACTTAAAACTAGGACTGTCAAAATTCGACACGACACGATTAATCGACACAAATTAAGCATGTTTAGATGAGATCTTAACGGGTTTGGGTGATAAATGGGTTGACACGCCAAACACGTTTAATAAACAGGTCGTGTACGAGTAAGATCTATCAAACCGTTTATTACACGTTTACCTATTTAAATAAAATTAATATAATAATAAATTAATGATTATTTTAAAAAATTAGCAAGAAAAAAAGAAGTAAAGAAATCAATAAAAAAAAAAGAAGTAAAGTAGCAGTTCAAAGGCAAAAGAAATGAGATGAGGAGCACTTCAAAAACAAATGCAAACTAATGTCTTTTATTTTTGTCCCACATGAAAAATGAGGGGAGATGAGGAGGGTTGAGTTGCCTATAAAAAATAATGACCTCTTGCTTCTTTTTTTTTAAGTCTTCAAGTCTTATTTTTATGATATTTGACTAAAAATTTCTCTTTTTTGAGGTAAGTGCAATTGACAATAAAAAAAAGTGGAGTATTAAAATTTGTTAATATAATTTTTTTAAAATTAAACGGATTAAACAAGTCGTGTCGTGTTACCCGTTTATTAAATGGATCGTGTTCGAGTTGAGATTTTTTACTCATTTATTAAACGTGTTGTGTACGAATTTATATATTTTTCACCCATCACCCGTTTAACTTGACACGTTTGATATCCCTACCTATAACTAGATAAGTGATAAAAACTTGACATTACAAGTTACATATTTCAATACCTCTTTTTAGTCATGATCAATGATAAATGGTGGTTAAGTACTATGGGATAGGGCATCTCCAAGGGGAGTTGTCATTTTTGGGGTGTCAAACGCCATTTTACAACTTTCAGCAATGTTTTGGCACCCCTAAATTATAAATCTGCTCCAATGATAAGTGTCAAAATGGGGTGCCATTTTAATATTTTAATATTTTTTATTAAAAATATAATTAAACTTAACGGTTATATTTTAACGAATATAATTTTCATAACGATCGATCGTAATTTAATGGATATATTTTTATAGTAAAAATTTAAAATTTAAAATTAACAAATAACAAATTAAAAAATAATAGCAACATAATAAATAATAACTAAAAATTACAACCCCGTTTTTTCATAATCTCTATCTTTTGGTTATTCCAATATATTGCAAAAATTGGGTCCATTCCAATAGTGTCAGTTTTCATGATTTTCATTTCATTCTGTTACACTTGCGTTTCTTCAATTTCTAACTGTTTACGATGTTGCTCCAATACTATTTCTTGTTGAGCATAAATTTTGTCGTGTCACTTAACTTTTTGTCGTTTCGCTTCCATTCTTTGATTTCGGTGGTGATGATCTAGTGATGTTTCAACACCGATTTGCTTCTCTTTGTTTTTAAGTTGTTTCTTTGAAACCTTTCAATGTCATCCCTTAAATATGGAATTGAATAACAAGATTTAACATGATTTGATTCAGCAGGACTAGCAGTTGAATGAGTTTTTGCTCTCTTATTGCTGGTGAGATTATCAGTCCATTTTCGCTCCATTTTCAATATATTCCAACAATGCTCGTATTGAAATGGTCTTCCAATGATCTTAGCAAACATTTCTTTTACTTCATTAACCTGAAAAACATATGAAATCATTCAATCAATAATTCAAATATCAAAACATAATTGCGTCTATCTAAAAAAACTTAATAATTACATTATCTTGCTCGATGTGTCTACTTTGTCGTAATCTTTCAATTTGACTATAAAAATCCACAAAATTGTCGCATTTTGTATTTATATCAGTCCAACGATTTTTAATAGAAGCTTACAAACGCTCTTCTTGATTGCCTCGATGAAGTTTTACGTATTTCAATATTCTATGCCAAAAAACACCACCTTGTTGTTCATTCCCAATAATTGCATATTTACTTGTGTTAAGCTACGCAGACACAATTAATTTATCTTCTTCTAGAAAGAAATTTTTTGTCTTTTACAATTTTTTCAATCTTGGAGCAGCTTCACTTTGTACTGGCACCAATAATGTGGGATTGGTCTGTATAACATCATCATATAAATCGGTGTTGTTCATAAGTAAATCAGTGAAAGAACCGTCAAATTGTGAATTTATCTAAAAAAAAAAATTTATAATCAATTTAAAGAGAAGATAAAATAATTAATACAAAAAAATTTAATGATGTAATATGACAATACAATTAAATAACATGCTGTAATATAACAATATAAAAAAATTTAATGGTGTAATACGACAATACAATTAAATAACATGCTGTAATATGACAATACAATTTAATGGTATAATATGAGAATACAAAAAGTTTTTAGGGGTACAAGGTGTCATTTGTCCAAAAATAAATATGAGCAGAATCTAGAACGATCTACAGACAAACGCTTCCCCTTCCCCTAGACCCTAAACAAAATCACCCAACATATACCCAGTGAGATGGCAGAAGAGTCTGTCTCTCTCTAGAGTTTATAAATTTGTTACCCCAAGTTCATTGTTGTCATTTTGTCACTTTTAAAGTCACTCCCTTTAAAGCGAAATTGTTTGATTTTGGAGTGACATTTTAGCGGTTAAGAGTTTGCCACCCCCAAATAGCACTCCCCGTTAGAGATGTCTCAGGGGGTTATGGGCAGAGGTGGGTGGGAAAGACAATTGTTGGATGGATACTCAGATAGGAGAAAATCAGAGAGGAGAAAGACTAAGAGAGACAGACAAACATCCCTAGAATAGCAGACAATGGCCAACTTGATTCCAGCTGCTTTCTTCGTCGTCAGCCAAGACTCCAGTTGTACAAAGTTTTCGTCGTCAGCCAAGACTCAAGCTACTTGCTGTCCTATTAATTTACGCTAGAGAGAGAGTGAGGTGGAGGAGCTTCAGTCTTCAGGCACCACGGAGGCGCAACGTCAAGGCTTAGTCGCTCAAGAATAGAGAAAATTAGGGAAATATATATTTTTAGATTGCCTATATATTTTGTGCGACTGTCACTTAAAAAAAAATTTGTGATTTTTTTAAAAATAATTATTAATTTGTTATTATATTAATTTTATTTAAACGGTTAACAATACTTACCCTAACATGACCCATTTATTAAACATGGTCGACAGATTAACTTATTTATCACCAAAACCTGCTTAATTCATTTTGATTTGTATCGATTAATTGTGTGACACATCTATGTGAGAGGATTCAATGGTGGCATAATGGTCAATCACTCCTATGTTATACATAAGAGTTGTGAGTTTTTTTTTATCAAAAGAGTTACGACTTCAAACTTAAACCTATCCCTTTCCCATGTAAACACTGAATTTTAATTTTTTTTTTAAAAAAAGATGTATGTTGTGTATAATTAATTATCTAAGAATAGATTGAGGTCCATCCATGTTTTGAATAGAGATTAGTTTGACAAAAGAATTAAATATATAACTGCAAAAGAAATAAAAATAAGTTTCTTTTAGCGGAGCTGTATATTATTTGGATTTAATTATTTGTAAAATAAATTTATATTTAATTAAATTTATCATTTTAATTTAAGTGAAAAAAATTGAATCGGATCCAAACCCAGCGCGAACCAGCCCAAAATAAAAATAGGCCTAATAATTCTAATTTCCACCTCCAATCCAATCCAATCCAAAGCCCCCACCGACGAACCGCCTCCGGGCATGACTGTGTTCCACTCGTCCCCCAGTTTCAAGCTCTGACATCAGTCTTGTCGCTCGAATACAATCTAGCCATCCCTACGCCATAACCGAGCTCTCTCTCTCTCCACATATGTGTATATTGATTCTCTCTTACTTTTTGCGCTGTCGATATCATAAATGGTTAATCACGCCATGAAGCGTTTGGTCCACAGCATAGGTAAAGTTTATGCTTGAGTTAGAATTTGTTCCTGCAATTTTTGTGTTAAAAAGCAACAATTTTTGTCTTAATTTATTTTTGATATGCAGATGTTGGTATAAAATTGTTAAAGAAACACGACTCGTACGAAAGAATTCTGTATAATGTTCTTAGTAGGTATCAATCACAATGGTCGAAGGTAGAAAAGGTGGAAACTGATGATTTATCAAAGGAGGGAAAGAATACAACAATTCAAGCACCTGTAAGGCCTAAAGCGCATCAGAACACAGACTACGAATCCAGGATTAGCAAATATAGTTCCGATGAAGAAGATTTCGGCAATAATAAGTGGAAGTTGGAACTTGCTTGGCTCACAAAAGCACTTGAACCGGCATTGCAATTATGTAGGTGGGCTCTGCCAACAGGTCTGTTCATTTGAGGTCATTGTTCTATTCTTCCCATCAATCATGTATATATATTCGTGCTGTATTGTATGCATTGAAAGCTTCTTGAGATGGTTATATTATATGCCATTGTTGTGTATATAACAAAGTATTTTTGAGCTGGATTGATTGGCCTTAAAACAGTTTAGATTGAGATTGATATATAATTCAAACTATTCATGCCAGCAATTGCAATCGTGTGTTCCTTTCTCATTTTTTGTTTACCTTTTTTTCCTCCATTACTTTCCCTCTTTGTGGAGTTATATCATATGTTTTGCATGTTGTAGACTTTATAACTTTCGTATCTATGGCTTTGTTGTCCACCTAGAGGTTAAGGAGCTGGATTCATTATTCGTTCTGTAGGGAATGGAATCAGAAACAAACCCCCACCTAGCAGTAGATCATTTGCAGAGATTGTGGCAAGCATTCAATGGAGCAAGCTTGGACTCCAGGATTGGAGCTTAAGTGATCTTACAATAGGCCTATATCTTATATACCTTCGGCAAGCATCTATGAATCCATTTGAGGATGTTAAGGGTGTACAGATCTCATCAGAGTCAACTGTAAGCATGTAACCTTGTGTCTTTGAAAATAGCTGTAGACACTGAAGAAAATATGTTTCTGTCCACCATAGATACATTTCAAGTAAATGTTATAAATGATTTAAGTGTCAATTTTTGTTGTGCTTAACCCAAGAATACTCATTAGATGAGGTTTTTTGTGATTTAGGTCCAGGATCTTATCTATCACACAGAATTAGCTAAAGGGGCTTATAAGGATAATGCTGCAAGTCTGGCAAGAAATAGCATGCTTCGAGAAAGCAATGTTGTGAAATTTGTTAGGAACTCGAGTGTGTTGAGGCCAGGATATTATATAGGAGTTGATACTCGAAAGAAACTTGTGATTCTTGGAATTCGGGGAACTCATACTGTCTACGACCTTATCACTGACATTGTCTCTTCAAGCAGTGAAGAAGTCACATTTGAAGGCTATTCAGCCCACTTTGGTACAGCTGAGGCTGCTCGCTGGTTTCTTAGTCATGAGATGGGAACCATAAAGAAGTGCCTTGAGAAACACAAGGTGGTGAGAAAAATAAAAATTGGATATTTCATTCTTTTCTCAGGCTTTGTAACCTTCTTTTATTTCTAATCCATTATTGTTTTAGCAAGACTAACTCATCTACAGGGATTTAGGTTAAGGCTAGTGGGTCATTCTCTTGGGGGTGCTACTGCTTCGTTGCTGGCGATAATGCTCCGTAAAAAGTCATTTGAGGAGCTGGGGTTTAGCCCTGATATTGTTTCAGCAGTTGGATATGCAACTCCACCTTGTGTTTCCAGAGAACTTGCTGAAAACTGCTCTGATTATGTCACCACTCTTGTTATGCAGGTCAGTGCTGACTTGCATATAGGAATCATATAAGTTTCAGTGATAATGACATACCCCCACATACCTAAACTTGCAGTCACCATACTAGGAACAGCTTTATTTGTAGAAAGTAGTCTGACTCTGTAAATAGCAGTTTCTTTTCTTTTGATCCGGCAGTTTCTTTTGTTTATTTACTCATTTGTGCATAACTCTGTAATTGCTTCTCATTTTTCTCTGTATGTAGGATGATATAATTCCAAGGTTAAGTGTAGCTTCTCTGACGAGGTTAAGGAATGAAATTCTTCAAACTGATTGGTAAGATGACATTTATTAGTAGAGGACTAATGCAATTTCTAGAATACCTGGAGTGAATAAATTCAGCAGCCCCTCTGTCTAAGTTGTATGCGACCTGCCCCCCCTCTCTTTTTCCTCTTCTCTTCCCATCAAAAAAGGCACTTTGTTGGTGCATTAGAGCACCAATTACTCGAATTTAATGAATGACAGTGCATTTGGGCATCAATTTATCAGGAGTTAGATGATTTGTGATAGTGGAAAAGGTGTTCTCTTTTGAACTTTCTTCTCTGCTTTTTCACAGGATGAGTGTTTTCGAAAAGGAAGATTGGAGAACTATCATAGATTTAGTTACAAATGCGAAGCAGTTTGTGTCTTCTGTACAAGATGTTGCTCAGAAGCTTGCTGACTATGCCAAGTTCAGTAGTGAGATAAAAGTTCCTGGTAAGCTCTGTCCTGTTTTCTAGTCTTAACTTCCTTTTGGGTGCACCATATCCGTCTCTCCCTCCTCAATTTCTGCCACCAATGTTGTTGTACATCTTTCTTTCTCTGCTCTTCTTCTTGAAGTAGGAGAATTTGCTTATGGGTCTTTAAAGATGGGTGACTATGTGACTGCATCCAACCAACCATTTTAGGGCTCAATTGCCAGATCCAAGGGTCTATCCCAAAAATACTGCCTAGAAAGTAAATCATGCACAATTTTGTTTTATGCCTGGCCCTTTTTTTCCTTGGACGTTAGGTTCTTTTATTAAATGGCTGGTCACCAAGTCTGATTTTATTGAGTAGTATGCCTGACTGTTATGTTTTTTTGGGTGACCAGTGCAATTGCAGTTAGAATTATTTAAAGAGATGAACCAAGAAAGGTCAATACTTTATGATTATTTTCCTGTTTACATCAAAATATGTATGACTCGAGGATACAATATTCAACAAAAAATGTGATAAAAGTGATTCAGAGATGTGATCTTGATGGTCCCAACATACCACAAAGAACTTGTAGTTTAGATTTTCCCTTTTGTGTGAGTTCCCTTTTTGTTTATTTACTAGCAATGCAGCACGTGCGTCGCACGTGAATAGTTTTACACAAAAAGTTATACAACATATTAGATATATGTATATTTGAATTAAATATCATTTTAAATTTGATAAACTTAATTTTTTATTGCTCGTTGTAGGATTATGAAAATTTTGTATGTTCCCAAAAATTCTTTCCTCTAACTATAAGAAAAAAAGATTAAAAAAATAGTTAAAGTTCTATTTTTTTTAGAATTTTGTGATTGAGATTTATTTTTTGTTATCTTTGAGAAATTAAATTTTTTGAAATTCATTTTTTAAGGATTCCACTTATAATTTCTTGAATAATATCATATGGAACTTTACTGTAATTAGAAATTGATTTGGTGAATTGTGATAAAATTTAATATACTATTCTATAATATATATTATCAAGCATATTGAAATTCTAAACAATTCAAGTTTTCCTTAAAAATACACTACAATATCTATTTTTACATAAAATCTTAATACAGTTTAAAAAATTTATTGTGACTGAAAAATTATACTGATGTAATATAAATTGTTTTTAAAAAAACTGTATTTACGATTATTTTTTATCTTAAAAAATAAAAGGGTTAACCTTTTCATATGAGATGAGTAATAAAGGATTGATAGAGTTTTTGAAATTTTTTTGAACATTTTATTTAAAATATAATGCGCTTAAGATATCCAACATCTTATGTTCGTACAACAGTATCCACAACGCTCCGTAGTAAGAAAGAAAATATTATGTTAAAGAGAGTCCTTCGTGTAAATTGCTTTGAATGGGTAAATCAATCATTTGTCACTAAGTATCCGACATTTATCCTCTCATACCTACTAATCCGAGAATGAGACATCCTGGATAAAAGGCTGGCAAGAGTGAGGCCTCTGAGATACTTCCCTACTGGACTCTAATCCAATACTCTATTTTGAAGAGACCACTCCAAAAAAAGAGAAGAATGCAACCATCGAGTTTCTTCGACAAGCCCTGCACTAGGTCTTTCTTAGTGTAGTTGGTTTTCCCGTGGTAAACTCTTAGACTATTGGCTTGGTTAGGCTGGTCTCCTATTAAACATGGCAAGCCCGACCTTCTATAATTAGGAATTAGTTAGGTGAATTCAGATAAAATTTAATATACTACTTTATAATATAGATATACTAGTCATAATTCGTAGCTGAAGGTATGATGAAACATAAAATTCGAGCATTCAAAAAATTGATCCCACTATACCAAATAATAGTTTTTTATTTCTTTATTTATTTCATTACATCATTTAAAATTAATTTTTACCTATTATTTTTTTTAAAATAGTGTCCAAATTTTCTCAAAATGGGTAACTCAGACAAAATGCTTTCAACACGCGTACACTATCATGTACGGATAATGTATGAAATAAAAAATTATGTTAAATTATAAATTAATTAAATGTTAAATGATAAACATGTGATAAAATTGAATGATGTGATATTTTTAAGGGAGAAAATGTATTTATAAAAATTATGTTAAATTATAAATTAATTAAATGTTAAATGATTGAATATGTGATATACTTGAATGATGTGATGTTTTAAAGGGGAAAAATGTATAGGGGATAAACTTTCAAACTCCTATGTGTTTTATTATACAAATATATATATTATCAAGCATATTAAAATTCTGAAAAAATCAAATTTTACCTAAAAAATATACTATAATATCTATTTTTACATAAAATCTTAATATAGTTTAGAAAGTTTATTGTGGTTGAAATATTATACTGATATCACGTAAATTGATTTTAAAAAATAATATATATGATTATTTTTTATCTTAGAAATGAAAGGATTAAACTTTTTGATGAAAGAGAAAATACACATATATAGACATAATATTATTTTTGCATGTAAGATGAGTAATATTAGGTTAATAGAGTTTTTGAAGATTTTTTAAATACTTTATTAAAAATATAATAATGCATATTTTTTCAGGGTAATAAAGTAAATCAAATTTTTTATATAAATTGATATTTATACATAGAAAATAAATAGATTAAAAGATATGCTTGAGATAATTTAGGGATATAAATACATAAGGATATGATGATAATTTAAATATTTAATTGTGAAAGGATATAATAGTCTTTGTAATTCCTTCTAAGGGTAAAGTAGAGATTCAAAAATTTTTCATATTAAGGTACTTTTATTAGTAGTATAGATATAGATATAAATTTGGATGTGAGATTGACAAATGGTGAAGTTCTTTGAAGTAATGTCCTCCCTGGACCCCAAAAAAAAAGTTACGTGAAAAACTGAATAAGGAGTGCATTTAAATGTCACACACCCAACTTAATGCAAGATTTTATTTAATAGATACGTGTGTGTGTGCGCGGGCGCATCTATTTTTCCTTTATTTTTTTCATTATCATTGTCTATCTTTTGTGAGTTTATTCCCTTATTTTTTCTAAATGGATGATTTAGTGATAATACTACTATATTCTTGGCTTCCACGAATATTCTCAAGGTGGTGAACCACACTGTCACTGTTAGCTTACAAATAGCTGATTATTTATTTGTTTATTTTCATTGCAAAATCTTGCATCTCTCCTTCATCACTAGCTTTCTTGTTTTCTGCAAACAGATGTTTCCCGCAGAAAGGAATCACCTGTGGTTGCCACTGTTCCTACATCCTCCATGCCTGTCGGAACAAGTAATGCTTTAACTAAAAAGGATCAAGCTGCCTGCACAATGGCAGAAGAATTGTTTGTTCCTGGGACTCTTTATTATCTAAAGAGGAATGTGGACACTCATGGTGGCAGCAACATTGGCAAAGTTGGGGAATTCTTTACACTGTGGAAGAGACATCCCGGTAAACATTTCCAGAGGATACTGCTCTCAGGCAACTTAATTTCAGACCACAAATGTGATAGCCATTATTATGCTCTGAGGGATGTAGTCAAAGGTTTGCCTGGATCTGGTGAGGAAGGTAATTTCAGATAATTGAATTTGTAAAATTTTGGCCATTTCCTGTAATACCCTGTAAATTACAAGTTTGATTTTGGAACTTCATAATAATCAGTTTTGAGAATCTGTGCAGAAAAATTAGCAACGGTCATGTGTCTGAAATTATATTTTATTGCAATAGCACAAGCATTTCTTATGTTCAAGCCCCCATTTCTGTTATTAACTCAAAACTGTAGTCTTCTTTTACCAATTGGAGCCCGGGTTTTGAATGGTGAGGTGGCTACTTTGCACTCTGAGGTAATTGTTGCTGAAGGTGAAGCTGAGGGGACACTAGACGGAGGTGATTCGCCTTCTTTACTTCCTTTCTCTTGCTGGTTCCATCAGCCATTTATGGAAATGATGTTTCAATCGTCATAAATAGTAACTTTTATTTACTGAGTCAGAAATTGTGAAGGTCTGTAATTGAACCACAAAACAGTTAAATTGCTTTGCCTATTTGCAGGAATATCTAGTCTTCTTTTTTCTTCTTGTGCTACCACCATTTTTCTTACAGAAAAGCATTTACTTGAGGATGAGTTTTGTGGTACCAAGGTCTTAGGTGATTGCTGTATAGTTTGCCTTTTGTCTAATGCTTCCTTCTTCTAATGGATAGTTTGTTAAAAGGTGTAGAGTAGGCTTCCAACTACAATTATGAATGTGGTCATAGGGGATTCTTTTTAATATTCACCTTAAAATTAGAGAATCAGGCAATAATAGGTTGGACTATATTAATAATGTTGTTCTATTGAAACCTTGACTTTATGCATTTTGAGTTCAATTCGATTTTAGCTCATTTGGGCCCATTCAAATTACAAAATGAACTAAATTTAATTTGATTTTTGAGTTTGTTTTCAAAACAAGTTGAATATAAGCACGTACACCTAGGCTCGGCTCAGCTCAACTCAACTCGAAAAGATTTTTGACCACAGTATAATTTTTATTTTGTTACCAACATAACCCCTATACCAAAAAAAACAAAAACAAAATTAAAAAATTCCAGACTTATCATGGCGTAATCTTCAAACCTTATATACCTCTCTTCTCCTTTCTCTTTTTCCAATGGATTTTTTTTTTGGTTGTTAAACTTCCAGGGTTTTATTTAGGGTCCGATACATTTTTTGTGGATTTTTGTTTAGAACTTTATAGTGTAGGATTGATTATGAAAATTTCTGTGAAAACTTTGAGCTGCAGTTTGGCTCGAAGCTCGTGAACTTCAAGAACATGAATATAAGCTCGACAATCGATCTCACAACTAAATTAAGCTTATACATACTGAAACTCAACAAGCTCAAATCAATTAATACCCATACTTCACTAGCTGCAAGTCAGAAGGCAGGCCGAGGAAGATGTTGTACGGCTCTTCACCTCAGAAAATAGAAAGATTGAATCGTGGGCCGAAGCTCGGGATGGTAAACGTTCTGATGGACATGGAGATTCAGCCCAGGCTTGTAATGGGTATTATGATTAACGATCAGGTAATGATACAATACAATACAATACCTCCTCTATTATCTTTTGCTAAATTTAAAATAAAAATCAAATTTACAAATGATAATATGCAATTAACTGAAGATGTTTATGCCTACTTGTGTGTGTGTGTGTGTGTGTATATATATATATATATATTCTTGTTTATATAAAGCGTATACCATACTTTATATGAACCCTCTAAGAAATGTTGGGGCTTTATAACGCACTGCGAGCCCATTATGGAATATAGAAAGTAACTTCACTCCATTTTGGTTCAAGCTCAACAAAAGTTGATGTTGTTCCAAAAGTGGAATTCTAAAGAAATACTCACTGCATACAAAGTGCCAGACACACACAAACACTACACACTGCACACTACACAGAGAGAGAGAGAGAGAGTTTTGGTGGGGTTTCAATTGCTGAAGACCATATTCTATTCTGAAGGAAAATTTGTTTGAACTTTGAATTCAGAACCTAAACTTGACCCACATTCTACACATTAAGACAAACTTGGAGCACATACTTCCACATTGCTACAGTTTATACTCCCTTGGTCAAAGATCCCTTCAAATACCAAGTCTAAGAGACTCTCTTAGCTTATCCCAAGTCTCAAGTCCCAACTGCCTCGTGGTTTACACCCGTGTGATTAGATTTCTTAGTTTTAAACAATTACAAACCCATCTCTGTCTCTCTCTCTAGGGAGGTGGGTTTAACATACCAAATGATATTGTTAGGTTATGTATATCACCAATAAAAGATTGTACACTTTCTAATGAATAATTATCACCTATCACTTTGTTGGATTTTTTTTTGAAAAAATAAACTTGTAATGTTCACAAGCTAATTTTGTTTGCAACTCCGCATTGAATGCACACATCACATGGTATTGTCATCTAGTGTGTTAATCTCATTCAAAAAAAAAATTCCTCTCTCTTTCACACACCCCACACCGACCCTCGTCCTTAACCCTATTGAAATGACATCTTCATTGTCCTTAGGGATGAGATAAAAGAATATATCAGTCCCTATATTATGGTTTGGACTTTGAACAAATGCCTGCTGTTCAAACTACACCTTATATCCTAACACAAGTCACAGTATAAAACCAGATCATATCAACAATAATTTACAAGGTTTTTGTATTAGGTCTTGAAAACGAAGCTTTCTTGTTATGTCTCTCGGACATCAAACAACACCATTTTCCTCACCATTCATGTCCTCGGGATCGAAAACGCTGATTCAACATCTAGTGTATATTGCTCACGAGGTGCATTTTGATGTTGTTCTATTACTACTTGAAATTTGGATAAAGACTTAATCCCTAATTTAAGACTTCGAATCTCAAGAAATATATTTCAACCCTAGTTTCATAAAAATTCTAAACATTTATTGTATTACTATCTAGGAGATGTGTCGCATTATAATGATAATATGATATATCTTTTGTCCCTTTTTCACAAAGAACCACTCCAATCATGTTTTATTTAGAATTGTAATTCCTACATATATTTAGATCGGACATGAATATCTATAAGTAATGCAATACATGGTAGCGTGAGTAAAAAAATGAGATTAAATAACAAAAATTATAACTTGTTGATTATCGCAATGATTCTAGATTAAAGTCGTCAAAAACTTTGTTGATTCACAAAGAATACCAAGTGAATTGGAATTACAAAGAATTCGTCTCTAAGTTTATTCAAAAAAAATCAAAACTGTTGAATTACTAGGAAACCCCAACAAAATACGAAAAGGAAATATTAAATAAATTACCCAAACAATATGATAGAATATAAAAGTGCTTAAAAAATGGTCTAAACATCATTTTTCGGTGAGATGAAGGAGATTTCAATCTTGTTCAGATCGTCGAGAACTTTTCAGAATAGAGTCTAAATAGGTTTTTTGAAATTGTCGCTCAAAATTAGTTTGAATTGGTTCCCGATCAATGTAGTTCTTGACGATCTTAATCTGTTATGTAATCTTATGCTAAACGTGCTATATTATAATGTGCATCAAATTAGATTAAGAGTCTCTTCCGAGTATCAAATTCAAGAGCTGAAAGTATCTACCACCAGAAACTCCATGATTACTATGATTATGTTTCAGTATTGAGGGTGTGACTAAACAATGGAGGTTGTATGTGTTCCTTCTAGATTGAGAGAACAAAATTAATAGTAAATTAGAAACCAAACCCTAGATACAAGCAATCATCCATACACGTGTGATGGCCCCACGTGCAAGTGGTGTGTCGGTTTGACCAGCGAGAGGGAGGACATAAGTCTGCATCATTCTCCAACACCATATTCCTCTATTCAACCAAACATCACCTTCTCTTCCCTCATCAAAACCTACTGGCAAACACAAGCACTTTGTGTTGAGTATTAAGCAAACGTGTACACGAAGTTAGTTTAGGAATGGATTATTTGTTGTTATACGGCCATTTTCATGCCTTGTGTCAACCACCACACATCGGAGAAAGAGCAATGTTATAGAGCTCTATTTTGAGTATTTAATCTAAAATTTAATTCAATGGTGTCAATAAATTAGGAGTATTTGAGTTTTACCTAAGTTGCGTAGTATTTTTCTAATATTAGATAGGGTTCACTTTTAATCCAATGACTGTATTAAATTACGTCCCCAAATTTGATTCTCAAATTAGGTCAAAATAATAATGTTATCTAGACCTAAACAATTGACCCAATGATATGACAAAACCATGATCCAATAATAGTTGTTGTGTATGTAGCTTTTTAACTTTTTCTTTTAACTTAATAACTTGAAATATTATTAAATTTAAAAATTTGATCAATTTTAAAAAAATTTTAAGATAAAATCTGTACGTTTTAAGTTCGAGTTTTAGGTTTTAAGTTACCTATACCCAAAATTTATGTTACAACAAAAGTCTCTCAAAGATACGTGATTAAAATAATTTCTTACAACTACAAAAGTCATAAAAATCTAAACCAACAAAGGTGAAATTATGGATTCATAGTTATTGTTAAATTAATAGTGAGTTTAATATTTAATGCGATCAAGTGACAATTACAAATTAAATTATATTAAATTAAAAGAGAGAAATATTATTGTGATTCTGTAAAATATGACAATTTTCAAACAGTACCCCAATTAAGATAATTTTGTAAAAATCAAGAATAACTTAATTTTGATATGAATGACTTATTTTTAATTAGATTGAAGAAAAAATTAATCAAGATATACGTAAACTGATCTGAATAGAACCGTCAAAAAATAATTAAAAAAATGTAAGTTGTTGCATCCACCCAAATTTGAATTTTTTTAAAAGAGTAGACCACTAGTTTATCGTTTAGTGAGATTAATTTTAGTTGGAGTTCGTAGTTTGGGTACCAGTGACGTGGACCGTCGGCCTTATGGGACCGCTCCGAGTAAACAACAGTGTCACTCGTGCGGCGGGTCAGTGTCAGAATAGTTGGACTATTTATCTATTTGACACGTGCACGGCAATCCCGAGGTATCATAACGGCTGTCTCTGCTTTACATATCTAATTTTTTATTCTATTTCTTTATATTATCTCATAAGGAAGATATGACAATATTTCAAATATTTAGTTGTTAATCATTTTATATATAAAAGAATCGAAAAAAATTTTAGGATTAATTTTTTAAACGAGTTTAAAAAATTAATTTAAACACAAGTCATTTAAATCACGAGTCAAGCTCAAGTCCAGTCATTTTCGAGTCGAACTTGAATAGTTCGTCTCAAATAACATATTTACCAAAGATTTATTAATTGAGACGATTCATAATTTTGAAATCGATCCTAAAAAATATTGAAATTAATCTTTCTAGTCAGATTATGTCACATTGATTTGATAAACAAAGTTTTGGTAAAATCTTTTGGTCAGATTAGCCCATTTTTTAAATCGATCATAAATCAGTGTTTTTTTTATATCCGAATTTGATAAGTTTGAATTGCAACTATGATTGATTGACTCAATATTTTTGGTAAAACAAAATGGTTAAAATTTTCAGATTTATATAATTTTACTTTCGCATGCGAACAGACCGATAACTTTCTCAACTTGCCAAAAAAATAAATGTTGATATAATATCATAAATGTATCCATAAATATAAATATTGAGATGGATTCAGATAAAAAATAAAATGTACATTTAAAAGTATCCAAAAAAAAGTACCGTAAAGAGAGTATTTTTATTTATCAGATGAATTTAAAAGTTTGAACAAAGTTTAAATAGATAAGTTTCATGGTGTACTCTTTTCTTTTTCTGGGATTAGTTAAATCACTCCTACATTATTGTCCTAAAGTATATTATTTTAATAATAAGGTTGGTTAATATGCCTTCTTGTCTCCAAGATCACTAGTCTCTTTCATCGCTAAGTGGCCAACAAGTACACATGCCTGAAAGCTATTCCGAGCTTGGTGAGAGATAATGGCAGCCAGAGATGCAATGCCGATAACCATTGCCATGCATGAACCCTGTTGGTATGTCCATCTGTTTCCTCGAATAACCAGTCATGTCAGCACCTCCATCTTTAATTAAGGCCATGTCCGAAAGTTAAAAATATAAGAGGGAATCAACCCTAGCCCGGTTGATTTAATGGTCGAATAAGGGCGGAGATGTAAATTTGTATCTTGATTACGTTTGAACAACTCTTCGTTATTGAAAAAAAAATAATATATCAAAGGAACTCCACTGATATTGAGCAATTTGCAAATTTTATAGTATGCTCCTCTGATGAAATTTGGTAGTTAAGCCACTGTAAGATGCTTGCTATAATTTATAAATAACCCAAAACAACATCCATGGATTGAAATCTACCCTCGTATGCTTTTCTTTAATTCTTTGATAATAAATCATTCATCATATATTGAAACCCATTTATATATAATGAATCTAGTTGATTAGAAAAAAAATGTGCTTGACTGGATCTGAATCCATTTACTGGTGGATGGGTGTTTTTTTTTTTGGGAGGGGGTTGAAGGGAAGGTTAAGTTGGGGGCTCATTATTATGGTTGGATGTGGGACCTAAATGCACATTTGGGCAAGGTCTACATGTTGGTGCCTATTTGTGACACAAAAGAGTGATTGAAAGTGATTAATGATTATATAAGATAAGTTAATGATACTAGTACAGTATTGCTCGACAAGCTGTGACCCGCAAGACTTAAACAAATGAAAGGCTTGAAAGGAGACCTCTCTCTCTCTCTCTCTCTCATATGCTAACCCTAGTCAGGGTGGTCTATTCCAGTGTCACTATCTTTTGTTTCATTCAGTTTTGGAATATGCTCCTTTTCAAGTAGTGTGTCTTCTTTCTTGCTTTACATTTTGATTACCTGTATCTATTCTTAAAAGAGTAGATAGTATCACGGATCCCATAACCACACTCGAACAACTTGATGCATATTGAATCTAAAATGTACCTTATTGGAGTAGAGTAAGAAAAAAAAATTATGTCACTTTCTACTAACCAGCTTAATGCTTGTCTGATGATAATTTCTTTTTATTGGGAGCAATATTATAATTTAAACTCAGGAGACAATTGCCTGGTTTCACCAGGTTTGTTTTTTGATTAATCTAATGGTGCCTTGTTCGAACTTAATCCAACTATGCATACCTAATTAATGCCCTATTAGAACTTTCAATTAAACCACAGTTGATAAAAATGCCGATAATATTGTATTCCACATAAAATCATTCAGGTCCCAATTGTAAAATTGGTATAAAATTAAGATATTTTATATGGAGTCAGATTCCCTCCAATGTATTTTTCCTTCAATTTTCTCCTTGGTAGATCTCCGGATTTGTGCTGCTATTGCTGAGCAAAAATGCAAACAATGCGATGGTTTCCAAAAGAACAAAACAATACGAAAGGTTGAGTGACAGATCCCCCGTTTGGTGATATTCTAGTAATGTTGCAATTCGGTGCACAAAATTCTGTACATTAAGGGATCTAAACATATATAACGTGTATGTGTATATATATATATATATATTGCATTATCCTGGGAATAGAGATACTATTTTTGTAACTTGAAATCGAGATCGATATTGAGGTACTATTAGGAAATATCATTTACTATGTTTACAAGCACATGATTAGGTGCGAAGTTATGATCAATTATGAATGACAACTTCAGTGAATGTTGTCGATTCTACCTGTTTACCCAAGACTCTTTGTCAGTTCAAGCCCTATATATTTTACAATGAATAATGCAATAGAATAATATTATTATGATTTAAAAAATTGATCTAATTTACTAATTTAATGATATGACTGTAACGGGATTCAATTTTCTTGTGAGCATAACAATTAGGCTTTTTCATAAGAATCAGTCGTTTCACCTGACACATTATTAGGTCAGCACATTAAATAAAATTTTTAAGCCTAAATAAAATTATACCTTACAACATACTGCACAGCTCTCATATAAAGGTTGTGCATGATTTGACTAATAAAAAACTCTCTATACCCATTATTTTATGGCTTTAAAATGTTGGAAGTTGCAATATCTTGCTTAACCTGAGCTAATGCCAATAATGCATTGATCAGGATCACGACATTACCATCATTATACTATTTTTTTTTGGAAATGTTATTTAAACTTTGTTTAAGGACCTTATTTAGGAAATTAATGATGTACAATCATTGCATTGGTTGTAGATTCTATCTAACATTAAAACTCACAACTAATCCAGTTGTTATATTGAAGTCACATTATTAAGTTTCTAAATACGGTCCCTATAACATTGCTCTTTTTTTCTTCCATAGAAATTCATTACTGTTGATGTGGATAATAGCCAAACACTCAATTTGATATTCATATCCAATCTGCATTGAATTACTAAACAATCATTTATCATATTGAAGAGTATCAACTATTACAGCCAAGAACAATGCACGTTTTACAGAGGAGCAAAAAAATACCCACATAAGGTGAATACAAATGAAAAAGCAAATAAGGGCTAGAGGAGGAGAGACTGATGTTAACATCACTAGGAGAAGCGTCCGGTTCTTAGATATACTTGCAGACAGTACCTAGCGCCTACAAATTGTTTAAGGGAATTAGACCTTTACCCCAGTTGCAGCTTTAAGATTTTCACCAAATTCCACCAACGACGCATAGTGAATGATATATGGTATTCATTGTCTCAACCGAATATTAAGAAGAAAGTAAACATACTTTTGGCTAATACCCTATTCTTGCACAATAATACGTGCATCCAGACACTCAACCAATTCTCCAAGCTAAAGCAAATTTAGTTGCAGCTACTACATATAAAATTCAAGACATACGAAAAATGAGGTGAAAAAGATCCAATCATCAAGCAAATACAAATGGGTTTGGTTTATGCTAGCTCTTTGTCCTTTAAGGAAGTTGAATGGAATCTCAAATGAGAGAACAAAATTTAGGATGGAGGAGTGAAGGAGAGTTTTATAATGAAAAAATTATGAAATCTGTAGCCCAATAAGGGGACCAAGTGTAATTAAGTATGCAATATAATGTCATCCACCTCCCTCCCCCTCTGGTGCTTATAAAGATGGTGCTAATGCTTGCACTAACATGAGTTCAGATTATTACACCAAAACCCTCAAAAGATCAGAATGACAAGCTCAGGTTCTCCTTGTGGTGCTTGCAAGTTCTTGAGAAGAAAATGTATGAGGGGTTGTGTTTTTGCCCCTTATTTCTGCCATGAACAAGGAGCAACCCATTTTGCAGCCATACACAAAGTCTTTGGTGCTAGCAATGTGTCGAAGCTCCTGGCTCACCTGCCGGTGAGTGATCGATGTGAAGCCGCAATCACGATTTCGTATGAAGCTCAAGCTAGGCTTCAAGATCCCATTTATGGCTGTGTTTCACATATCTTTGCTCTCCAGCAGCAGGTATAGTACTTATTGATCTTGCACTGTAATTTCAGTTTGAAACCCTAATTTTACCTTTTAGGCCTCATCTTCACTGTTCTTTTTGCTTCAATTTTGCAGGTTGTCACTCTTCAAGCACAACTGAATTCTCTCAAGGAACAAGCAGCTCAAAGCCTTCTCAATGCCTCTAGCAGTTCCAGCCTTAATGACAGAATCTATGGAAAATGTCCTGCTTACCCTCAGGATGTTCAAAGTTGGTTCCAGTCTCAAAATTCTAGCTTCATCCCCCAATTGGATCCAAACTTAACCAGTAATATCGGAAACTTACCTTACTGTGAAAATGGGACCATGAATCTGGGAAACTATGAAAATTCAGCCCTCCTGGAAGATAACATCTCATTTGCTAGCTTTGAAGTGGGTTCTAAATCACTGGATTCTCTTCATGATGTGCAAACAAACAACAAGCAATGGGATTTTCGAGACGACATGAATGATCTGGAATCTGTGGCCTTTGGGTATATTCAGCATTCATGAGGAACTGGGGACTCAGCAAAATAAATCATGGGTGAAGATTACTCTGTCAATTTTTGTACTCTTGCTATGCACTTCAGCTGCCATAAGCAAAACTAGAAACCCTAGAAATGTTTATACTATTGGATTCCATATAACATACCCTATGATTGTTTTCTTAGATTTTGTGTAAACCTTGGATATGTCTCCAACAAATCTGTTTTTTTTTTTCTTTCGAGATAATGCAATCAGCTTTTTAGTGGAACTAGCCAGCTAGTTAAGATCTAAATCTTAGACCTAATCAAGACCTTAAACCCTAATTGTTTTTGTTATACTTTCCCTTTATGTATCTATAACGTTGGTCCATTAAACATTACAAGGACTCGAAATTTCAAAAAAATTTAGTAGGTTTTTGGACATCACACCATTGTGAAAATTTACTGATTAACCCTATCAATATTCCAAAACTAATGGTCATGCCTTGGGTCAAGTTAATTCTGGATTCTTTGTTTTCAAAGAGTTCATAGTGTAGACGTGTGCAAAGTGGAAATTTGTTTTTCCATGACTTCTTTGTGCAGCAATCCATTTTTTTTTTAATTTTAATCGTCAATGAGAGTTTCATTGTGTTTGTAGGAGCAATGAGAAAAATGTTTCAACATCTCTAGCTTTGCTTATCATCTTGGGGATCAATTGCTATTTATGTTATCACCAATCTCTTTTAACCTTTCCCTGTTGATAAGTTTGTGTCTGTTATTACTTTTGGCTAGCTAGTATAAGCTTGATCATATATCAGATTCAGAGGAATATTATAAGTGAGCATCTAAAAATGTATCTCATATACAATTGCAGAGATTCCTGAAAAAGATAATGTACTATGCCTATTTTCATAGAAAAACACAATGATCCCGAGGACCTTAAGATGTTTTTCTTACATTTGTTAATTCATGGGAAGTAGACCTAACTTCATTAAACACAATTTCTTCCACTAGCTGCTGGTTGATTTGATTGCCTTTTACATATCTCACAAAATCTTGACACTCATCTTCTGGAACTTTGAAAAGCTGTTTTGTACTTGATCTCTTACCCTTTAGTCAGAACTGTTAGGCCTGAGGTTGATTATAAAAATCACTGTAACCATAAAAAACTACTCACCTAGTAAACCTAACTTGCTTCTCATCCTAATATATATTATACCATTCATTTCGCTTCTAGCTTAGGTTATTTCAATTCTGATTAACTCTCTCACTTTTGGAAAAAGGTAACTCTTTTGAGAGTATAACTTGAAAGTCTTTGGACACTAAATTGCTAGTACCAAGTCTCGTTGCTTGAATACTTGCAACTCATGTGCAAAGCTTCTCCTCAGCAAGATTGTATGGTTTGAGTGAGTCACTAAGCTGCATGCTAGCAACACCTTTAAGTTATATGTGTGCACAAGAATTTAGTCTTTTCAGCTTCAACAACATGGCTGAATGTTTGCTATAATGGAAGTGGTATAAGAAGGAAAAACACTGACTTAGCCAATAATGGTTTATCAGATTTAGTAATTAGTTGGTCTTATGGAGTTTACAATTCTTATCATTATATTGCAAAGGTATACAGAAATTGATGATAGCATTTTGAAGCATTTGAAAGAGTTACTGCTAGGATTTGAAGCATGCATTTGAACTATATGAAATATAGAGAGAGCTATACATCTTAGGTTTCATGGGGTATAAAAAAAGAAATGGTGAATCCTTGTGCTGTATTGGATTATGAACGTCAATAACTTTAGCTGCATATAGCCAGTCCTAAACTACAAACACTTTTGAATCTATCTTTTCATGCTAGATACTTTGTTTTGCAACCGCTCGCTTAGTGTGTTGATGATAAATTGACAATAATTTGTACTGCCATTTGCTTGTTGGTGCATAATATAACACTGAATTTCAAGTAACATAGCCCTCGTATGAGTGCTCTGAAAACGCTAGTTATGATCAGTTTCTTGATATTTTTTTGTTCAGGATGTAGACAAAACTAGATGTTCTTCAAATCTGCAGACAGAGGCGTGTGTTACTTTTCGGATTATTGGGAAGCTAAGAGAACTGTAGATAGTTTGAATGGTTATAGGGTTCGGGAAATTTCTCCAACACCTATAGTTAATTCGCTATAATCTCAGATGATTTACATCTTCCGCTAGGTTTTCGAGTAGTGCAAATTGACATGCCTGCATTTCTATCCCCTACTAGTTCAAAACTTATTTTCTTTTTTGTTGAGCTAGTTTGATATTCGTAAATCCCACGTTGATATGTCCCTTTTGTTTCTTACAAAGAAACTTCATTTAAATTTGAGTTATAACACAACAATCCATAGCAACATCATAGTTAAGGTACACTACGGTACGTTAAATATAAGCATTGTTAGAACAATGTTATTACAGCAAATTAATTTTTACCAAATTTTTAACTGCAAATCTATATGAATAATTAGATCTATGAATAATATTTGTAATTGTATTTAGGCGTTGTACAAGACATTTGGTATAAAACTTTAGTGCATATATGATATAACTCTAATTAGTTTTCAGAACTTTATTTATTTATTTATTTTTTGTTTTATGGTCAAGAGTGTTCAGACCAGTTTATGGGTATTTCGACTAATTCTTTCTTTGGTTTGGTCAATTATAAGTTATCCACACCGGAACTAGGTTACAATCAAGATTCGAACTTAGAGCATTTCCAGTCCTTATTCTTTTTTTTATACACAAATTTAAATTTGAGTAAAAGTAGTCTAAAATGCTTCTCTAATGTTAGATCCATATGCATACCAAATGAAAGCAAACTTTTTTTAAATCCAAATCAAGGGAGGCCCTTTCTTAACTCAAATTTTTAATAATGAGATTTCATCATCTTTTAATGATTCATTTAAAGATCCAATTATCATATTTACGCTCATTTAAATTTAAGTTTTTCTTTTTTTAAATTTGAGTTTCTTATCCTTTAAATTTGAGTTTCTCCATTGGAGAGATCGATACCAAATCAAACTTTTTAGTTTTTTTTTTTAACTCAAATTTGGATAAAGATTTGAGTTTTTATTAAAGATGATATTAGAATGTCTGAATTTATAGTTCGTTGATATTACCGATTAAGTTATTTTTTGGTCTTCATTCTAGGACTTTTTACACTACCAGATTGACTTACTCTACATGGAAGAGGGATTCCATTAAAGGCGGCTGAACTTGATATTAGCCAGGCCTGAGACCTATAATTGTAGTTAGGAACCAAAACTTTATTTTAAACCAAGTTCAGCCCATTTATAGGTGGAGTGGAGGGTCATAACTCATATGGACTGGACTTCATTAAAGTTAAGACAGCAAGTTGTACACCTTGGGGGATGTGCCCCCTTTTAGTGTTTTGTCGCTTTTTAATTATATTCAACAGAAATCCAAAAAAAAATTATTTATATATATATATATGAAGGTATATAAGAACCTTAATCAGATCCAACGTAACTCTAATCTCCGGACAAAAAAGGATCATACTACTTGGACTATGCACTCGGTGAGTCATGAGTTGATAGCTTTAAATTGTCAACTCTAAACTCATCACACATCACTATTATATTATACCTTCCAAATGAAACTACCCAACAAATTGTAAGTGGTCTTGTTTTATGGAAATTATGCTTGACCCTTCGACTTTTATTGCCATTATAAAAGATTATTGGCCTAGTCCCCTAAAGTATTAATATTTTCACTTTGACCCACTAAGTCACAAACACCTTGGCCACTCTTTTAGAATTAGGAGCTGGGTGAATAGAAAATCAATGCCCCTGTGAAACAAAGAACATGCTTTGGTCTCCTTTAAGAAGAAGACTTGGGCAAAGAAAGACACCAAACCTTCTCTCTCCTTAAGACTCTTTTGTTCCCTTTGCCCCTCTTTGCCTTTGTACTCATGAAGTTCACTTCTTTATCGTGTCTTCTTTTATTGAACACTGTTGTTTATAAAAGTACCATTTGTGGGAACTTTTTTCTATTGAACTCAAGCTCTCATTCACCACTCATTTACTTAATTAATGAGCCAAGGAACATAGTTTTCTCAGTGGAATTAATGTTGTCGTATGATACATTGAACACCACTGCTAGCTTTATGAACAATAAGCTTTATTTTTTGACAACTTTTTTGTCTTCTGTGATTGTTCAGCGCCGAACTGAGGTTTTGAAAAATACTTAACGAGCGGCTTGGTTACATTTGTTGTCATTTTCTATAGCTGGTCTTGGGCTCGAAGTGCATAAGATTCAGATAATCCATTACCATAGTTGATCCAGGAGAGAATTACTTAATACACACTTTTATGTTTTGGGTGCATGTTGTGTTTTTAATATCTCCACTCCAATATAGCCATTCTTTAATAGCCCCTTTTCTATATGTTATGTTGTTAATGTCTCGTATTTTGTTCGAATATATCTCCAGATTGCCATTAAAAACTTTTTTAAAGTTTAGAGTAGATGGTTCTCAAGATAAATTTAGTGGAACTCTATTAGAATACTCACTCGTTTCAGTGGGTCGCCCAATAATGCATGGTGGGATGTGTATAGTATTGTGAGAGTTGAAGAGGACGATTGTTTCATTCTTAATTATATTCAAATCAAATCAAATGATAATGTAACATACGCAAACCATAAATTATCTAAATTACATATTGCTAGGGTTTATCCTGGCCCTTGTTTTGTCACATTGTTTGTATTAGAAAACTAAATTGAAGACTAATTGAAAATTAGTGGTTGGTATCCAATTTAAGAAATGCTTCAAATAATTAATGGGTTTATAAAGCAATTTGGTTAGCCTTATTGGATTTGGAGAACCAATAGGTACAATTTGCTTAATTGGGTCAACAGAAGTTGCTAAAACTGCTAAATCATGATGTAGCAGTGTGCAGTCAATCAAGGGGACATTTTGTCTATCTATCTGAGTACAAGGTCATATGATATACTCGTATTAAAATTATATTACGTACGAATTATGTTAGGTAAACCTATTTATTAGAGCATAATCTTTAGGCAAAGTGGGTCCCCAGACACTCCCTCAAAGATTTATTTTTCTTGAACCACAATGATAACCTTTACTTATTCCCTAATCCCTATGGTCTGACTTAAGAGGTTTTTTTTGTTTTTTTGGTTCAATAGTTAAGGTGTTCGGGTAAACTGATGTATATTTTGACAAAGGTAGATCATTTACATTGGGAATAAGAAATTCATGAAGAATAAATTCTTATAGTTTAGTTTCAAAGGATTCTCAAAGTTCGAATTTAGGCCGTCTACGGTTACAACTTTTCTTTGTTCTACTTGAACTATCACTTAATATCATACCCCATTTGGATATATAGCCCTTTCTTGACTTAATGAAGTTTATCAAAACAAGGTTGTCATGTTTGTTTTTTTTTTCTTTTTAGGAAAATTATTCCAATGAAATGGTTTTTTTTTTGAATTTATAGGTACAACTCAAATTACATATATATAATATATTAACAATTCACTCATAATCAATTAAATCGAAATTTATGCAATTAATGGAACTCAAATTCAAAATATTAAATTTTCACCATTGAACTCACTATAAAACGGTAACATAGTTGGGATCAGTTATATTATACAGAAATAGGCAATATACATAGACATTAATGTTAAGTCTTTATCTTGTGATGTCTTCTACTACATGTTTGTTTCTTGATTTAATCTCTCAGGGAACAAACGACACACCAAACGAAAATTGGATGATATTCACGATGACCCCAGTTCCAAGGTACCTTTCAAAATGTCAAATGGAGCTGTTATTATTGATCATGAAGGAAATACTATATTATTTTCTTAAAGAAAATTAAAACAAAAATACTACACTCACCAAATTAATGTGTCGTATCAGTCGATCTTATTAATTTTCTTTAGTAAAATTCACTAGTCCAAGAATACATATTCATTTGGTAAGTAATTTTTGATAAATATTTTAGTATGCACATCATTATTCCATAACAATTCTCAAATGTAAAATCTTAAAATGAATGAGAGAGAGAGAGAGAGCCTGTCTAGCTACATTAATGCTGCAACAATTTTTGGATAGAAAGGGAAAATGCCCTGTCTAACAGTTTCTGCCATAGTCTCTGTATATGCATCGTTCAATGTGCAGATCATCACTGTAACATCATAACCTAGCAACAAATATGGTGCGTGCCCCAAGTCAGTCCCTCATCATTCTGAAAGCCAGTGCTTGAAGCTCACCCAAGTCAGTTTGTGAAGGTCTCTTCTTAGCATAAGATTGGAATGATTGCTCATCTCTGCTTCGAATCTCTCGCATACCTTCTCCTCCATTGATGTGATCAAGTGAGCTCGGGGTTGAGATAGAGTTCAAGTAAGCCGGGAAATTCGGAAACGATGCCATTCCAGCCATGTTTCCAGGCCATTGATTTTCTGCAGTCTTTGAATCAATGAGGCTTTGTGCCAGTTGAGCCTTCATTTGCATCAGTTGGGCTTGCAAGCACGTCACCTATAGAAGAAAACAAAGACTTTCATCATTACTTCATCTGTATCTGGCATAGGCGACAACAATATCTTTAAAGAACTTACGAGATTAAAGGTTAATTGGTGGTGGAAACTGTTATTTGATAATGGGTTTGTGTTGTTAGTTCATATATGGAAAAGAATTAGGGTTGCAACTCACGAGAAGCCTATCAGCCTATGACCATCCACACAAATGCGCAAATTATTGATCCATATGTGTACAATTATGTGCATATCATATATATATATATATATATATATATATATATATATATATATATATATATATATATAGAGAGAGAGAGAGAGAGAGAGAGAGAAGAAGAAGAAGAAGAAGAAGAAGAAGAAGAATTTGATAAAGTTGAATGGTGAAAATTTTGGTGAACCTGCTGTTGTAAGGCGAAGATATGTGCGACACAGCCATAAACTGGATCTCTGATCCTTGCTTGAGCTTCATAAGCAATGGTCACAACCGCCTCACATCGATCCTCCACTGGGACATGCAATAACAATTTGGAAACGTTACTGGCACCAAACACCTTATGAATGGCAGCAAATCTAGCCGACCCTTGTTCCGAGCAGAAATAAGGTGCAAAAATACAATCCACGGCACACTTTCGCCGCAGAAATTTGCATGCACCACAAGGAGAGCCAGTCCCAGTTGCCATATTGAAGGTGTGTGTGTGTGTGTGAGAGAGAGAGAGAGAGAGAGAGAGAGTTGTTGGTCCTTTGTTAAAAAAAATTAAGGCACACGAGCACACTAGAAAATGATGTAAAATGAAGCACTTGTGTTGATATATGGATGGCTAGGGGAAACTGGGGCTAGTGGGTGTTGAGGAGAGAACCTTATAAGAGTGTGAATGGGAGACATGGAAGGTCTGCATGTAGGGTTCTAAGGGACATTTTGTAATGGCTTATGTAGTATGAGCATACTTCTTTAATGTAAGATCAGTTTAGGTGATTTAGAGTAGAGGGTATCCATTTACGCATGAATATGAGTTTGAATGCTTGAGAGAGGAGTTCCATCGCATATTTATTTTTAAAATAAGGATGATTGAATTATTTTCCCAAAAAAAAAAAAAACAGCTATCTCCTAATGCTTCCTCTCTCTTCTTTTTTTTTTTAGCAAATGAAATCATTTTGTGAGAAAAATGTCATTTGAACTTCATTTAATAACTTGATTAATCCAATAACTACAACGAATTAAATTTTAAATTAAATTCTCAAATTAAATCTCTATAACATTGTTTAATAAGTAATAGAAATGAACAGTGCATAGTGATTAGGTCCAAACAACACGAGAACACTTTGATTAAGTGGGTGATTTTGCAGAGTCATATGCCCCTAACTTGAATAGAAAATTAATTAATGCGATAGATAATACAACAAAGTCACTTATTTATAGTGTACAAATAAATAATTCTCGGCTGATATTTATAATGCACTTGTACCCCTCCCAAAAGTGTGTGTGTGTGTGTGTGTGTGAGAGAGAGAGAGAGAGAGAGAGAGAGAGAGAGAGGGAATCCATAAAATTCAACTCCGCCTACCTTATAAAAAGGAAAATGGTCAGTTGAAATAGCATGAGGGGCAGCCCGTCAGCATAACAAAGGAAAATGGCATTTAGTGACAAAGAGACTATTACCCATGTTATCGTTCTCGCCTCAGTGACGCCATGACATAAATATCTTAATTTCGAATTACCATTGCGCCCACGAAGAAATGCAATCAGATTAAATGTCTCCTAAAATTCATGGTTCAAACCCATACCTTCACCCCATGTTGGCACAAACCTGCCTGCATTAGCCTCCAGAACAATACAATACAAGTATCTAATGGTCAGAATGCACTGCAGATCATACCGATCAGTTTATGTTTTGATTATGATCTCAAAATAATAGGACCATCAAATAGTCCAGCAAGTTAATGGTAAAAAAACTGAGTTTTTGGAGTCCAAGGCCAGGGGGTGGGGCTAGTTCATGCTAGTCCAGCTGCAGTATTTGAAATACCTGATGAACACACAACCACCCAAAAAAATATACTACCTGTTTCACCCAATTATTTGATTGCCTTCAATGATCAATGCTGTTGCAGAAGAAAGGCAGAGATATAAAATTTGAAGAGAAGGTTTGATCTCAACCATCAGTGAAGACCAATTGTGAGCCCTCACCCGTTTCAAGAGGTTACATATTATCCACATCAAGGTCTTAGTTCACTCAAGTACAGCCCTTTGTGGCTTGTAACCATTTTTACTACTACATAACAACAACATTTTTTTTTCCTACATAACAAGACCTACTCCTTGTAAATATAACCATGAAACAACAAGCCATTCAATAAGCAATATGGGCAACCATTCTACATAGTGGTTGATCTTAAAAAACACTAAATTAAGAATCGATCAAAACTAGGTGGAATTGATCTTGTTTCCATTACTTACAAAAACCAAATTCATAACCAGAACTGAGTAGTTGCATCTCATGCAAAACCCAAAATGAGATGTCACAGAAACCAGTTCTTATAATATATACAAGATGAAGGATAAGTTTTAATCTTTGGTTGCATACTTGCCATGAAGTAGTCAATTGGTTGACCAAGGAGATTGAACACCCAGACTAAAAACACCAATAAAACCCGCTTACATAACCTTAAATTATGGAGATTTATTTACCTGTGGCACTTCACCTCTTGTGATGAAACCTTACCTTCAATAAGAACTGCATCTTGACCTGTCCAAGATATCAATAGGGAAATCCAGTTACATAGAACATTAAGATAATAGAATCAAGCTTGATTGAAGGAGAACAGTGTCAGAATTGAAGTGATTGGAAAAAGAAAAAAAAAGGACACCCGGAACAGGATTAGAATTATCTTGTGTAACTGGCATCTCCAACTTCCAATCAAATTAAATTGGTACAACAGCAGCCACTTTAAGCATTTTGATTACATTTAAGTTTATTCTAGTTCCAGGGCAACAGCTAGTTATTTTTTCCAACACAGTAAATAAATATGAAGCCTCTCTTGAGCTTCTGAATATGGAAATGTATTGAGCTTATCATCAAAAACTCATCTTAGTTTGAACCAACAAAAAGGGGGTAATGACCCAGGTTCAGTGCTGTTGATCGACGGTGGGGATCAGAATTATCTTGTGTGACTGGCATATCCAACTTCCAATCAAATTAAATTGCTGTGGATAAGATTTGAGTTTATTTTAGTTCAAGGGCTTCAGGAAGGTAACTTTTTCCAAAACACTAAACCAAAGTTTCTTTAGCACTTCTGAATCATGCAAATGTATTGAGGTTATCATCAAATCCCATTTTAGTTTGAACAAACAAAAAAGGAGTCATTACCCAGTTTGGGTGATGTTGATCGAGGGTATTAGGATGGATAAATGGGGTACAAATCTAAGTTAGTATTTTCACAAAGTGGATGCCCCCAGATTCAAACTCACAACCTAATGGTTATTAATTTTATCATTGCATCATGCAATGACCACTTAGTTTGAACCAATACTATACACCAAACCTGAAATTGCAACATTGACCAGGTCAATATGGTAATGCCAATCAATGCGCCAAGAGAAATAAGTAGCTCCCTTCTAGAGATAAAATATCATGGTGTTACATTCTTTGTAGGTGTAGACAACTATCCAGCCAGGTTATCAGTCACAAATATCACAAATACCGTCCACTACTTAGCAAGATGATACACAATAATGTCAAAAATGCAGATAAAAAGCTTACTTGAGCTGTGTTATAGACGATATACTCATTATACATCAGTTCTGTCGCCTTGACACTTGATGACACTGGTTTTCCACAAGGTACAACGATGTCATCTCTCCACTTCACATAGTCTGATTCTTGAGGTACTTTCTTGCCAAGGCCTTTTGTAGAGTGCTTGCCTTCAGGAGGTTTGTCCATATACTAGCAGTTAAACAAGATAAGCAAAGAAATCTCAAAGGAGGTATGAAATGGAAGCACACCCACAAGCAGGTGCACACCTAAAATCCAACTGTCACCTATATGTGCATGAATACCAAACGAGTGACAAATTGTTGAATGCATTTTGAACATTAATGAATTATAAGCAGCAAAAGAGTGCACAGTATGGCAAATGTGGACTCACCTTAGACTTCTTGAGTTCATAAACTTCTCCCAAGGCAACTTCACTCAAAAGCATTAAGCCCACGGGATTTTTCTTGTCAGTGTAACAATACTGAGCACTTTTACTGACCAGGTCAGCAAAGTATACTCCTTTGCCAAACTATAAATAACAAATGCTTACCTTTGGTTAGTCTTGCGGAAAAGAAAAGTAAATGTATTAGGACATTCTTTTTCCTTTATCCAAGTTGTAAATACATCAAAGTGCTGTTTAAGTTTTTGTGATGAGAAAGAGAATGAGGGAGGGAAAACCATATAGCCAGTAGTTGGGGCTTCAGGGGGAGCGATTCTCAGTCCTTGACTAAGTATGCCCACATAGTTCGTCAACCGGGAACCTGTAGAGAACAAAAATTTTCATTCCAGCTATAGTCTTGCTTCTGCCCGTAGTTTATCTTTACATACCAAATGAACCAGAGAAACCTCTCATGTTGAAATGTCATATAATGCATGCCACACTTAACAGCATCCATTCCGTATGTTATTAAGAATTTCAACTTACCATGCCAAAGAAGCATTCTATTTTTAAGTCTCTCTCTGTGGGGAGCAAACTTGTCAATTTCCCCCACCCTTTCAAGTGAAAAGACTTCTTCCAATTCAAGAGCCCAATCCTGAGAATATTGCAGTATTCAGTAAATAGATTTTTTCAAAAAACTAAATACAATCATGGAACAAGAAACTAAGAATCATTTTTAAGCTAGCACAATATGCATATAGTGCACAGAGTATCAAAAAAGTAGACCCACTGTATGTGTAGGGGCATGTGTGGCTTGAAGATATTTATGGATCAGCTTATAATCTTCACTATCATGGGGAAGTGGAGCAATATCACACTTCAACTTCATGTACTTCTCATCAAGGGAATCATCACTATCAACATCAAAACCTACTAATCTGGAAGCTATTTCAATGTCCTGGAGAGCTTCTAACATTTTCACCTGCCATAGAAATGTGAATTGATTACTTCATTCTACTTTGCACCTACTGAAAAAACCCAAAAATAAGCAATGAGAAAATTTTGACTTTACTAAAACTGATACAAACAATTGTAATGTTTCACTACTTATCCTGTTGCATTTTATAAAAGAATTGAATATTGGAATTCTATATACAAGTAATCAACTAGCAATTGCATTTCCCTCTTAAAACAAGAGAGACAAAGAAACCCACATTCATCACTAGCACCAGCCACCGGGTAGAAAACCCACAAAACTGTTGCAGCTAAAACTCACAAATGATTTGATTTACAAATGACCACAATCCCAACAGGTCCACCTGTTAGTTAGCTAGAAACCCTTGCACAGATATACAATATAACAGAACCCAAATCAAAGCCAAAACCTTACTAACCAAATGATAAATCATATCAGATATGAGTGTGTTTTTATGTGTAGAACTTCCAACCTCTTCAGCAGAATTACTATGCTATTAGCAAGTAATTGTCTTGGTAACTTGGCTTACAAATTTTTTTAAAAAGACTAACTTTAGATTTGTGCAATACAGTATCTGTGAAGCATGTAGTATCATAAGTAGGATTGTCATCATCATCAACAAGACTCCTTATTACACAATAACCTTGTCAACATTCACAGCATGAAACCAATGACGGCCAAAGAACCATTAGCTTTGTTGGCGTAGTGGTACCAGCCTATAATGAAGAACTTCAGGTCACAAATCTTTTACAGACCAAAACAAATGAAGAAAGGATTTTCGTTCTGTTGGGTGTTTTGTTCCTCCCCCCCCCCCAAAAAAAAAAAAAAAAAACAACAACAACAAAAAAAAAAAACCATGGGGGGAGGGGGAGAGTTTCTCACCCTGATGGACCCAACATAAATGCAGGAGACATCACTATAATACAAAATAAAAGTTGTAAAGGAAATTTAAGGGAAAAACAAATATCATACAGGAGAGGGAAAGCACGTTCTTGGATGGTAATGTATTTTATTATGAATAAAACACAAAGGATATAACTGAACCTGAAACTATGCATCTTATACCTTTGACTTAAAATCGTCCTCATCCTTAATCACATGAGGATGAATGGAAGGAATCACGGTGAAAAATCGATTGCTGGCATCAACGATCAGGCTTTCTTTGACAGAAGCATCATAAGCAGCACTAGTCAATAGATTCTGTATCTGAGTTAGTGCCTCAAAACCTGGATAATGTTAAGAAAGTATTTTAGACTTTGTTAATTAAGTAGCCAAAAACTATTCGAAATTCTCCTCTAAAATATGTTCCAAGTCCAAAAAACACATCCTGTCAACATGTCAGGTGCAGCATAGAAGAATATAGGTAGATCAGAAACAAATACCTTTCTGGATATTGCTTTTGCTAAGTTTCCCGAGTGGCATTTCAGACATATTTATCTCAAATTCCATCATTGCAGCCCTGCAAAATTTCATTTCTCCCAAACACATTTTCGAAAGAATAATCATCAAGTAAGACAAACATCGATATATTTGACAAACCTGTATGTTTCCACATTGAAGAGCATCTTCATCAATTCAACTAACGGGGGAGCAAGTTTGCTGTTTGTATCATTCAGATTTTTCTTCTTAGGTGCCTCCTTATTAACCCCGTAATCCTATCAAATCCAACACTGTAACATCAGGAAAATAATAATAATTCGAATGCACAAGGGATGAATATTCACATTTCAGGAAAGCAATTTGACAAAAAAAAAAAGAGAGAGGCAGAGATCAGGAAGGAAAGTTAGCGATACAATGTCCAACGGGAAGAATCTGCCAGGTTGCTTCTGAAAATTTTTCTTCCGCAACCATGCCTCCCACGAATTCCCAGTTTTTTCAAGAAATAGACGTTTGAATTCTTGTATCGCATCTGATTTAGACATCTCCTCTAGTTTGCTTCCTCCAATTTTTTCGTACCCAACACGACCCCATTTACGGAATACATAACAATCTGACCCTTTGTCATCTTGAATGATTTGAAGGACATAATAACTGCATACATGCAAACAAACAAAAGTTATGACTTAGTAAGACAACAGGTTAAAATGAAAAGAACTTTCAAATCAGAACTTTAATCTTCTAGTATTTCCATCATTCTTTTCATAAGGAAATTAAATGCATCATTACAGTTATAAAAGAACAGGGGAAGTTAGCACTGTCTAGAAATTTTTTTTAAAAAGTAACTCTATTATTGCTTCGTGAAGAAAAATAACCAGGTAAATATAAAATTTTGGAGAAACAAAAGAATAGTCCACGTGAAAGCACAAGTACCACCTTTAGAGGAGACTGCATATCTTGAGTGTAAAAGACATTTAAAGCATATTCTTTGTGGATGTATGAATTTTTTTGGTCATCGTGATTGTGTAACTGTACTCGTACTAGTCTTGCATAAAATAAAAGATTAATTCAGAAAAAGCAAAATACTAGCCAGTACAGTTTTAACCAACATTATTGACTAGAGCCACCAATTACATTGAGGAGAATGTTGGCACAAGGCACGTGTTCCTGGCAACACAATACATTAACAGCAACTTTCAAAATTTATGCAGTCAGAATGATTGGCTCCATTGAAAACCATAGGACGGCCCACTAAATTAGCTGATTGCTAGAATAAGTTGACTACCAACAACCTTTGGAAAGAAGTCATCACTGACAAATAGCATAGGCCCTTAAATTCAAGTTATCTCCGAAGTATAAAGCAATAGCTAATGACGGGGAAATCAAGTGTAAGTGCAACTGTTGGAAAAAAGGAATTATGCGGAGGTCAATGTGATAAAGCATTGATCTCAAAATGCTTCAAAAGAAATACTAGAGGTATAAGATCCACCTGTTAACACCGGTTGAAAGGTCAGACATGTTCAAAGTTGTATTATAAATGATTTTCCCATCCTCAAGGATGTGTCCAGAATCTTGCAAGCCAGATGCTTCATGCACAGCACTTTGCCCTTTAACTTTGACAGTGACCATGCTACGTGCCTCTCCAATTGCTTCAATTTTGTACAATTCAAAAGGAAGTTTCTTCTGCTTTTTTATGCAGTCAACCAAATAATCCTCCCTAACAATAGGTCGTTTCATCCTCCTATCAACATGAAACCATCTCACGTAAAGAAAATGTCTAATGGAAAATGAACATTAAGGAGGCAAATTAGGGCAGCTTTACCTTGCCTTCCTTATCTCAGCATCTTGATCATCCAACACTCCACTCACAACTAAACAATTTGTGTCTATAGTGAAAGTAAGGTAAACATAAGACAACTCAATTTACAGCGAAACAAGAAAAGATGTTAATTCAAATTCAGCACATGGACCATACCTTTCTTAATCTTGGCATGAACCTGTCCACCTGCTTCCTTAATTTTGCTCTTCCATTGCTCCTGCAAAATGACCCTTTTAAGTCAGAAAATTTTGATTTCCCTAAGATATAACCATAAGTGCCGGTAAAAGCCAGTAACAAGTGCTTACAATTAAGAGCAATGCTATTGGGACAGAATTTAAGAACATAATTTGGGGACATAATGTATTTTGACCAATGGAGTGATAGTGGAATGCATTTAATAGGTCCCATCATTAAGTGCATAATTAAGTAGTCAAGAAGCTAGCAACAAGTGCATATAATAAGCTTACACTCTAGAATCCAGATTGAAAATAAAAACACGAGAAGAATGAAATAAAAAAATTATACCATTGATTCCTTGGATACTCCAGCTAGAGCAACCCTCAGATCTCCTAATGTTTCTCCTTTCGATGACTGAGAAGATTCCTTAGCAGCTTGACTTCCAGAAGGCACACGTGTTGAAGGCGAAGGCAATATTCGAGCAGGTTTCTTTGCCTTTTGTGACTTAAACCACTGAGAATCATCAATCCAAAACCATGATCATTATTTGTTGGACTCATATACGGCATGATTAATGTTCATGTACCTTGCAAAGATACTCATTTTTTGTCTCTTCTGGAATTTTCCACTTTCCATTGACACGTTCAGGTTCAGTGGAAGAGTATGAACACTTGCTCCATGCTGATAGGTACCCATGGCATTTGTACATACCCCCAGAATAACGTAGACACCCAGAACAAAGTGGGCATCTACAAAGTGCTCCAAAAAGCATCCCATCAGCACTAAACAAGACACAAAAAATATGTCAAACACCAACAAAGACGCAAAGTGTACACGATTAGTTGTATGGAATACCAGAATTGACAATCAAGAAATTGAAATACATGCTAGTTATTGATATAAAAAAAACAGCACATTTATGCCCTCAAAATTCAAAATTATGTCAAGACACAATAATTAATGGACACAAGAGCCTATGCTCAATGTGCTAAGGCAAGTACAAAGGAGTTCCAACTCATCCTAACTAAAAAAGGATAGTATCAGATAAGATTAACTACAATTCCTAGGAAGACAGAGGAGCAGTAAGCACAGAAACACGTGTTCGTCATTCAAATAGCAATGGGGAGAATACCCAAGAGAATTAAAAGCAAAAGAACTTACCAGTGCTCTCGCAAGTTGAGCTCCGACCCTGTTGAATCTTGACCATTGGCTTCAAGCATCTCTCGCATCTCCGCTGTTGACACCTTTTTTCTAAGATCATCTTTCAAAGCCCATAATTTTTTAGTCTGGGCCTCCAGTTGACTCTCCATATTAGAGTCTCTTGAGAGTTCACCACCTAAGTCGGCATTCTTGTCAGAAGCAATCTTGCTTGCACAAGCATCACCTTCAGCCTTAGCAAGTTTTAACTTCTGGCCACTGCTCAAAACTCCTTTCCGTTTAGTACCACCTTTAGATGTCAACTGTTGTAAAGCTTCTAAATCCTCTTGCGTCTCAACTTTTGTGCCTGAAAGAGAAAACACAAATGGTCAAATCAACAGCGAGGAAACGTTACACAATGAACAAAACACACTTCATACGACCTTTTTCTGTAGAAGGAACCATTTTAACTAGGGTAAGAACAGCTGCTTGATCAGAAGCTGAAAGGTTTTCCCACCCAAACAATTTATCTACTTTGATAGTTGGGGAAAATTCCACAAAGCAATTAACATGGTGCCAAGCCAAGCCTTTAGCCCCTTGACCATCATTCTTGGCAGACACACGGACCTATGAGTCAAAGCTAGCCAGTTAGAAGATCAGTACTAGATGATCACTACTAAAAACAATAAATATATACAGCAACAAATTGATTGAACTACATTTTGGAATGAAACTTGTTAGCTTTTGCAACTAATAATTATGACCGAATTCTTACAGAACTGAATTTAGATTCTTATTAGTCAAAGCAAGCATATGAAAACTCTCGATGGATACAACAAGTACATAAATGTCTTATTTTTATAACTTGCATGTATTAACCCTAATAGATCACTTGAATGCAACTATAAGATTCTAAAATCAACTACTATTTGCTACGTTGCACAGGAATGACTAGACTCGAGAAGCAAGTATAGAGATGTGCAAGTCCTTTCCAAGAATCTAACCGTTACAACGTACAATCATAAGGAAATTACTAAGGAACATGAATTTTGATGAAGCACATGAAAATACGTCCTTTTGTGTATTACACAGGGTAGATGGACTCACACGATGCTAAGACTGGCCTAATTCAACAAGCACTATGCCCTGAAGGAAACTGAGAAGCTTACAAGCAGTTTTGCTACAGTGACACAACTTGAAAAACAAGGTACATTGCATCTTCTCGAATACAAATACTTTTCTAAGATCACTTAAAAATAATGACCCTCCATGCAAATATATATTATGGCATAAAAATAGGACAAATAACACAACTTATGTGAAGCAACTGGAAGACTACTCATGCCAAAAGGCCAAAAGGCCAAAATGCCAAAAGGTAAAAAAAAAGTAAATCGGCACGTCAATAAAATAGACTCCATTCTCTAATCCTCTATTGCCTGGTGTGCATTCAACACTCAAGCAAATACCTCTCTGTAAATAAAACAGATTATTTTAGAATATGAAACTGCATTAAGCATCCTTTGCTCCATTATCAGCATTGACCACAAGAGTCGCTAAACTTAGATCCGGTACTTCGCACCAGAACAGAGATCTCTCAGACAAGTTTAGCAGCCAAATTTCCAAACAATGATTTCAGAGTAAAACATATCTATAAAAACATATTAAGGCACCTCTCCTTTCACAATCTTTTGGCTGCATCGTCTGCAAGTAGCACGGGAAGTTTGTGAAACTTCTACAGCATATTCAGTCCCAGTGGAAGCACGAACATTTGAGGGCACACTGCTCTCTATGTATTTCCTTATCTTCTGCTGATCTTCCCAGCGAAGCAATTCCAAGCCCTCAACATCATCAAGACTTAAAAAAAACACACACACACACACAGAAGTCAGTACTTGAGCAAGGAAGAAATAATTCTTTCTTTTACTTCAGTAGAAAACATAATGAGAAGACGAAAACATAACAATACATACAATTTTATTTGATTTGCTTTCCTCAGAATACAGTCAGCATGGTTCCACATCTGATTTCAAATACAAACATAAATTAGGTTATTTGAAGGAAAATGCAAACTTGCATTGGGGGCAGTAAAAGGGAAACAAAAATAATCAAGGACAAGAAGTAATCTCAAGTCCTCTTTGCGAGGCTTTCCCAAAAAATACATCGAACCTACTGCACCACATGAATGAGGACAGCTAATTTACACATCAAGTTTCCCTGCAGCTGGACAGAAAATAGAAGCTACGTGTAGTTGAGAGTAATTCACAAATCAACATTTTTTTGACAAGTAGTTCACAAATCAACATTTTTTTGACAAGTAATTCACAAATCAACATTACTACCTGTACTAGACAAGCACAATCAATTTCATCTTCTATCACTCAGATATACAATACAAAATAATAAATTGACATGAAATTACAGGTGATGAAAGTTGTGGCATAACCATAAGATGTTTATAGTTGAAAATGGTGCCAATTTTAAGCAAAGTTCTTTCATGCAGCAAACCAAAATGCATAGATTCATAGACTGACTCCTGGTCTTTTATCTGAGAAGAAGTCCAGTTTGAATTTAGTAAAACACTGGGAGTCGTGCTAACCAAAGTAAAAGGCATTAATCCAGACTCCAAAACTAAAACCTAACACAAAACCCATTAAAAAACTAGAATTGCAACCACCAAACCCACAGAAGGAACCACCTTCCACCTATATGAGATATGGACAAACAACAAAAATACAGAAACCCATATTCTGAGTGTCGGATGTAAGCCTGTGACAATGTAGCACTGAAAAAAATATCACAATATCAGCCGAAGCAAAAACTAGAGAATTAATATTCCACAGATTGGCATTACATGTACACATGAGAACAAACATTAAATTACCAGAGCAACTGAATATTGAAGAGTTATATAGACTGAAAGCCTTTATAGTCATCCAAACAACTTAAGAAAGTGACCTACCAAGAAGAAGGGAGGGAGAAGGAAACTACAGAAAGTGAAAAGATTGACGAATCAACCCAAGAAGGCCTCAAACCCACAGTGAAATGCCAACATTATCGATTAACTAATACTCCATTAATAAAGCAAATAGATACCTACAGATTTGAAAAAATTTTAAAAAATAAAACTTGATATCAATCATGTTATCGTTCCAAATAATTGAATAAAAATGTAAATCTGAGATCAGTACGCATATTAAACGCACGAAAAATGAGCGAATAATAAACCAAGTCAAAACTCTCAATTTTTTTGGGAACACTAATGTACAATATATATAACATACAAAGACTATTGAATCACTGGTACATTCAAAAAGGAAAAACAATATGAACTATTTAGAATATATAATTGCTAAATAACTAGAGAAAGTGAAGAAAATAAGGGGGGAGGGATGACAGGAAAGCCAAAACAAGAGTGCAATTGCTTTACAAGAATGAAAACAATCTTGGAACCTAAATTTATTTAGTAGACGAATTACGTGACAGATTGCAAGCAAAACCCACATAAAGATTGCAAAAAATGTCCCTTACCAAAGAAAGAAAGAACAACAAAAATTACAAAAGCAAACTGTGGAATCGACCCTAAAGACCATAGAGAGATGGAAAATCAAGGAATTAAGTGGAAAAGATACTGGAGGTGTATCAAACACAGGCATGAAGCCACCGAATTGCAAAATATCTGAAAGGTTGCAAACAAAACCCACATAAAGATTGCTAAATACGTCCCGTACCCAAGAAAGAACAACAAAAATTATCAATGCAAAGAGTGGAACCGACTCTAAAGACTGGAGCGAAACCCACATACAGATTGCAAAATATGTCCATCACAAGAAAGAACGATAAAGATCATCAATGCAATGTGTGGAACCGAAACAAAAGACTAAACAGAGAGTGAAAATCAAAGGGTTAAGTGGAAAAAGACAGTAGGGATTGTGTTACGCACAGGCATGAAGCCATCGAATTGTGTGGCTTGGACAATCTTGCCAAGCCTGAACTTCTCCTTTTCGATGTTGTTCTTGCAGGTCTTGCAAGATGATCTCGCCGATTTTGCATACTCTGCCTTCCATGGCTTCGGAGGAGTGGCCATTCACTCTCTGTCTTTCTCTCGGCAACGGCTATCTCTCACTCTCCTTTCTCTGTCTATATATATAGGCTATACATATATCCACCCGAAGCATCCCAGGGAAGAGGAAAGAGAGTCCTGTCCGTAAACGCTCGTGTGAGCTTATGAGCTTGGGTTCTTTAAACGGTTCAAGCTACTTATTTGGGCTTAAACCGACTTAGTTTGGGCCTCAAGTAACAAGTACTGGGCTTGACCCAGTACTAATCCATGGTTAATTGGTAATTTCGATTTAGGGAATGTAAAACACAATAACAAGGCAAATTACTTACATCTACAATTTATATTTTAATTACAGTAAATATTTTAATCACGCTTATATTTTAACAACTCACTTATATTTTGACCCGTTATTGATACTTTAATTATAATTTTAAAAAAAATGTGAAATGGTATCTCGACCTTCACCTTTTCGAGTGTATAAATTATCATAGTTAGTGAAATTATCACAATAAGTTTTCATTTTACTCCCATATGAATTGATGAAATAGTCGCCATCCCTACCTTACACCCTCCCCCCCCCCCCCTCAAAAAAAAAAAGAAAAAAGAAAAAGAAAGCCTTTCTACCGCATATACGTTGTCTTCTTTCACGGGATAAAGCAAACTCAACCTATGGTAGTAAACATCAGCAATGAATATGTTGGTGGTGTTGCAACGATAAATGGTAGTTGAGCCTGCTGGCTCTTATTAGAAACAGAAATAGGACCTATGATACACTCAACATATAGTGCAAGACTTCTTCGATTGTCTAGGATAAATTCTTGTGTTCAAGTTAAACAATTGAACTATTCATGTAACAAGAAGTAAAAAAAATCTCATTTAATCTGTACTACCACCATCTTTCCCCAACATGCTCCTTAGTCTGTTTCAATGAAATGAAAGTGACAAAAATCAACACATGTTACGAAAAACTCAAATTGCACAAAGATACATTACAAGAAAGATGAACTTGGAAAATGGATTGGATCCATGTAAGCTCTGAAAATCTAAGTTCCAAACAAAAAGTAAAAGGGTGGTTGCAGACTTTTCAAAAAGATAAGCTTAATATATCAGACCAAGAAGATGAAGCCAAAACGAAAGGCATTCCAATTTCCAACAGTTAAAATTATGGATATTGCAAGGAAAAAAGAAGGGATGCAATTCTATAACAGCTTCTGGCACTGAATACATTACAAAATTTTCTGTATCAACAACACAAGCATGGTGTGAGTACAATTGAGAGTTGCATGGATAGTTTTGACCTAGCTGTAAATTCCTAAAAATGTCCTGTCAGAAATTCCAATTACATAGGGATGATTGGAAGACCCAGAGCTGAACAACAAAATGGTCAACTATAAAATAGATGCACCAACCAAACTAATTGGGAATGCATTAATTTTTGGCTGCCCCAACCTCAAGAGTAAATTATCAGAAGCAGCAAGCCATATAAGAAACCTTTCTTTCTTCATAATCCAGGATTGCATTGATACTTTAAAAAAATTTACTTCCTGGACTTAGGCCGGTTCAACAATCATTGTCACCAATAGAACCCAGAAGAACAAATATCGTTTTCATGTCTTAGTTTACCTCATTATAATCTTCCTCCTAGTTAGCCAAGGAATTGACTTGTCCATAGAAGGACAATTGCAACAAAAGTCTCTAGCTTTTGTGACCATAATGAGCATTCCTTCTTCAGTACTCAGATGATTGCCAGTTTCTTTCCATGGCCACCAAGGACTTCCGCCTTCAACTCATTATCTATATCATGATGAACAAATCCAATATCTGGCACATAACCAAGTTCTCTCATTTGCTCATGTATAGAAGTCCACACACCCTTGATTTGTGTGTTATCGTAAGTCCCTTTATCCTCTGACCTGAATATATAAAAGTTCTTCTCAACCTCAATCGAGGCAAAACCAGCACTCTTATGAACTCCTTTCTCATCAAATTCCATTCTTATCTTCTTCACCATATCCCACATCCCAAGATCAGCATAAATATTAGAAAGCAAAACATACACAGAAGAACTATCAGTCTCTAAGGGAAGGAGCCTCTTGGCCACTTCTTCTGCTAACTCAATTCGCTTATGAATTCTACATGCACTCAACAGAGCTCCCCATGAACTAGCTCCAGGATCCATGGGCATGTTACTTATGATGGACAAAGCTTCGTCCATCTTTCCTGCCCTACCTAACAAATTTATAATGCAAGCAAAATGTTCCTCTGTTGGTGCAATTCCATAATCCCTACTCATTGATTTAAAATAGTTCCATCCTTCTTCAACCCTTCCAGAATGACTACAAGCTGACAGAACAGAAACAAACGTGACGGCATTGGGTACTTGATCTTCCGATCTCATTTGGTTAAAAACAACAATTGCTTCAGAGTACAGCCCATGCATTCCAAATCCATTGATCATTGCACTCCAAGTAAACACATTTTTCTTGGGCATCTGATTGAAAAATTTGTTAGCTGCTGCAATACAACCACATTTGGCATACATGTCAATGAAAGAAGTACAATTCACCATATCCAACTCAACCCCATTTCTTAACATGTACCCATGAACACTCTTTCCATGTTGCAAAGAACCCATGTGTGTGCAAGCAAGAAGAATGCCAGATAACGTGACTGAATTTGGAGTAGCAGAATCTTCAAACATCTGTTTGAAGCAGCCAACAGCTTCCCAAGCTCTACCATTTTTCACAAACCCAGTAACCATCACAGTCCACAAAACTACATCCTTCTCAGGTATTTCGATAAACAATTTCATGGCTAAATCGGCTAAACCACACTTCATATACATGTCCACAAGTGATGCCTTCAAACACATGCTATAATCAATGAAATTTCGCTTTACACAAAACCCATGACATGCTCTCCCTTCTTTACCAGCATAAACATTCCCACACGCCCGAATCAAACTCTCAGACGTAAATGGATCCAATTCAAAACCGGAACTTCTCATTTCGGAAAACAACTCAAAAACTTTAAATTCGTTTGAAAATTTCAAGTGCCCTTTCATCATGGCACCCCAAATAACAACATTCCTCTCAGGAACAGATTCAAACACTTTCTCTGCATTATCCAAACAACCCAACTCGGTATACATATTTATAAGCACAGGCACAATATACGGGTCTCTCTCAAACCCATGTTTAAAGACCAAGCAGTGAACTGATTTTCCATGTAGCAAAAGCGATAAACCAACGCAAGCTTTAATTGCAAACACTAAATTGAAGCTATCGACCCCATGGGACTCGTTTCGCATATGTCTGAACAGCTTTAGAACTTCATACGAATGTTTTTGCTTGGAATATCCGGAAATTATGGTGTTCCATGAATATGGGTTTTTGCGGGGGATTTGGTTAAAGGATTTGGAGGCCAATTGGAGGGAACCCATATCAATGTAGGCATTGGAGAGCTTGGATCCGAAGAGAACTGAACGGTGGAGTCCATTGATGATGATTTGGGCGTGTAGTTGCTGGGTGTGAGATAGGGTTTTGGAGAATTGGAAGAAAGAAAGAAACGTTTTGAATGGAGTTTGAGAAGGTATGGTGGGTATGAATTTCCCTCCACTGGGAAGCATTAACGATTGTTCAAACACAAAAAACGTACCCAACAGTCGAGTGATGGAGTTCTATGATTCCGTGGGTTGGTGTTATTTGATGGGCATGAAGTCCATTATGCTCAATGGAGGTGTCCCCGTAGCAATGCTGATGATTGAAGCATTAAATTTGATCTCAAAATATTGTCAGACCAGCATAACTAATTTTACACTAATTGCATCTTGAGGTGATAATTGAGCTAAAATTTGTAAGTTTGAGCCGAGTTCAATTTTTTAAATAAGTTTAAAAAATTGTTCAAATTCGATTTGTTTAAAAAATGAGTCTGAAATGAGTCTAAAATAAGTTGAATCAAATACGAGTCGATCCCAAATAACTTAACTATTTTACGTATAAATAAGTTAAACTTTACCAACTCGAGCTTAACCTTTTAAACTCTTTTTATAAACGAGTCTAAAAAATTATTTGAACTCAACTTAATTATTAGTTCTATTTGCGGCCTTACAAAAACTGTTAGGTCTTGAGTTTAGTACTACAATTCATAATTAAATAGAAAAAATTGAATTGCAATTCATTGGAAAGTTAGAATATAATTGAAGGACAGTTATTTTTTTTAATAACTGTAATTAAACATGACAGTTATAAAGGATTGAGATCAATCCAAAAAATTAAAACTTTCAAAGTTAAATTACAATTTTTAAAAGTCAAGTTTCAACACATTTAGGGTAGTGTAGACATTCCCTAAATTTACTTAGTACTCAAAATATTGCCAGACTAGCATTACTAATTTGTACACTAGTTGCAGCCTTGCAGGAACCATTAAGTATCGAGTTTAGTACTACAATTCATAATTCAAATTAAAACAAATTGAATCCTAATTCATTTGAAAGTTAGACTATAATTGAAGGACAGTTATGTGTCAAGGAAATCAAATGCAAATTGAGATTAATTCCAATAATCTCAATTTACCAAAATTTCAACAAACTAAGTTATAACTTTGCTCTTATTTTATAATACAACAAAATAACTTTGGCTCCCCGACATAAAACCCAATGGTATCCACCATGCAAGTACCTAGTGCAAGTGGGATGGGGGTCTACATCCTATAATTGCACAGATACCTTCTGGTTAGCGCAAACAAAAGGAGAAGAGGAGCGAGAGAAAAAGTTTGGGGGGGGGGGGGGGGGGGGCTGATAATGAAGGCTTGTAAATGTAAACCTTTTTTCCCAGGTTTGTTCTAGAGGCTAACTTCAAAATTGGACTTGATGAGCTTGTGTATTTCGTGGATACTACACTTGATGCTTGCAAAATCTAGACCACACATCAGTATAGTGGCACACACAGTAGTGTTGAATATCTTGGAGCACCAGAGAATTGAAATGATTTAGCATGAGGCTTGCTGCAGTTGAGGTGTCTGCATGAAGAGGTACTGTACAGGATGCAGTGGTTAACCATCCATCCAGAAAAATATGTTCTCATATAAACAAAACATGTTTTTGCATCTCTTGAATTACCTCAAATGATTTGCCAGATCTCTCAAATTCTAGCATGCTGAGAGCAACATCACAGCTCTGGGACACAATAGGCTCAGGATCCTTTGCAAACTCCTCAAGAAGTGCTACACACCGGTCATCTGCAAAAATAACAAGACAAAGCTTAAAAGGAAAACCAAAACTAGAGGGCCTGAGTATAAAAGGTTTTCATAGATGCACAAAAATATGAAAGCAAAAGTAGGTTTAAGGTGATGATGGAAGCCTTATCAGTCCAAATGACAATGAAAGGTTGCCAAGCAAAAAAGATGCTAAAATTTGGCAACAATTTTGTGATATGCATATAGCCTGTACAGGCTCCAGGCACAACTAAATAAAATGACATGCGGATATAAGGAAGCTTCACAGATGATCGTGTGAAATGCACTGGAAAATTAAATCTTGCAGAAACAAAATCTGTACTCAAAAATGGAAACAATTCCATTCATAGTGTTGAAGGATGATGATTTCTTATGCAGTCACAGCTAATCTAAAATAAATATCATGCATTAATTGAACAAAATACCCTTATCTGATGGTCAAAGAAGAATGACACTAACAGAACCATCATATCACTGCTATTAGAATGATATGTCCAATTCAACTGCATTTTATGCTTCTTTCGTAACTTTATTTTCAACTAAACCAAACTCGAAAGAAGTTTCAAATGTATTAAGCATACATGATTGCACATACACAAACCTTATAGTGAACCAATATTATTTTCAGTCAACCATGGCTGAAAAGCTTGTTAGAATGCATCAAGTATATTAAAAGATGGTCAAACCTGCAATAGAACCAAGAGCTTCAGCTGCTTCATGTCTGACCATTGGGTGCTCATTCACATCCCTAAGTATCCTAGAAAGTGCGTCTGATGCAATTTTGTTTTGCAATTGGCCCAAGACATAAGCAACCTGCAAAGTCAGTTCAACAAAATCATATTCAGAGGTGGATGGAAAATAAAATGAGTGATCAAAGACATGTCTAATTAGGATTTGATAGCCTTCAAGAAATTGATTTCCAAGAACTAAGCCTTTTTATATCAAGCTGGCACCAATTGGGACCTTGATTAAATAAAACCCACACGCATGGATGGGATAAAGAGAAATTTTATCTATTTTAGTAGTGAAAATTTGTAGCAAGCATAGTTAGTCATTATAAGAAAACATCACATGGGTGAAATTCACACACTTGTTCTCACTTATCTAGCCTGTATGAGAACAATTATCCTTCTGAGGTTTCATATCACAATAACCCGTTCTATGCACTAAAAAAATATATATATTTGCTCCAACCAGGTTGTACTTTCTTCACAATATAAACCAGCTGCTTTTCGGTTTTTTCAATAAAGAAAGACCAAAATGAAAAAGAACGATGGCACAAGAAACTAATGCAAAGAATCTGAATATGACTCCCATAGAACATTAAAATTGCATCAAAAATTATGGTGTCACACGGCTTGCATAATAATCGATTCATTATGCACATTATCTGAATAAATTAAGAACAAAAGTGACGCGTGAAGAAACATGCTTCTTTTTGTTTAACACTGAAAGCAATGCGAGAGTTACCACCACCCAGATGAAGTGATTTTTGTCATCAATCCTTGTAATCTCATACTTTAACTTCACGAATATAAGAAAGACTCCTAAAAAACCTAAACCCCTCCAACAAAACACATCTTAGATGCAGATGGAAAAACCATGGTAGCCTCTGCACATAAATATTGCAACCATCCTGGCCATTATCAGATCTGGATACCCAAAAATAAAAAATTGCCACACATGATGCAGGTATTCTCTAATATTTTAATAGTATGTCATCCCTGAGAGATTGGCTTCTAAAAGTACTTCACAATTTATCATAGAATTTGAGATGCTAGAGAAACATTTACAGATTGACGACCAGGATTTCAAGCGAATACATTGAATGAGAGTCTTGTAAAGCATCGAGTATTAAAAAAAGTCAAAAACCTTACAACGGACCTCATGTTTCAGGAGAGCACTCTTTGAACCTAAAGATTGGATGATAGCAGTGGCAGCTTCATCTCCCCCTTGGTTTCGAAGTGCAAAAAGAGCTGCATACCGTTCATACATGCCCTTTTCTTCATTCAAAAGAACTTCCCTAAAAACAGGTGAAAATAGTCAGCCAGAAAATAAAGCCTATTTAGTAAAGCTTGAGAAATGTTACCTGAACTTATAAACAGACAAACCTGAGTTCATGAACAGAAGAACAAGAAGCAGGTGCAGCTGGATCAACCGACAAAAAGGGTGAAGAACCATCAATTTCTCCAACATTCTTAAGCTCCTTGATTCGACTGAGAGCCAATTCACATGTTTCTCGCACTTCCTGAGCTGGATCTGAAACCAAATAGTTCTTTAGAAGAGGAATATTACTCTCCACACCAATTGCACCAAGAGCTTCTGCAGCCTGTGCATTCAGAGGGAGAAAAAAATTAGCAAGAAGCATCAAAGAAAACAACAAAACAGTATGTCTCAAAGCAATAAGAAGCTAAGAACATGTGACCTCATGGCGAACAATGGGATGCAAAGAAAGGTCCTTAAGAACCAATTCTAGAGCAGGGATAGCATCCGCATCTTGCATTTGACCCAATGCAAACGCAGCCTCATGTGCTAGTAGATTTGAAGAATCCCTTGTTGCTGCAAGAGGTGAATCAACATGCAGTTGCAGGATTGACATAATTTATTCTTGACGAATCTATGACCAATTGCACAACAATAACAGAATCTAATTCAACACAGTAAACGAACCGGTGACAGTTTTGACACATTGGCCGAGAAAATTAGAGCTGCAAGTCAACAAAATGCATGCTTGGCTGAACTGGAACAGCTCAAGAAAGGGTTAGCTTTCATGACAGGGATGATATTAGTGTTACCACTATAATAAGTTATGTCTCCTATATGAGATTTTCATTAGTAAATCAGATGGACTAGGAAGGTACTTTTAATTATTGGAGTCCGAGGTTAAAATGCAAATGATACTAGGTTCCCTTACATGTAATGTATACAGACATAATTATGTTTAATAAATTTTTGTTTAAATGTTTTAGATGAACATCTCAATATACCAAAATAACTTCTTTATAATTTTTTTTCATTTTTTTGTATGTCCCTCCTCTGCTGATTAGAGATAAACCCTAATCAATACAAGTCTCAACCTTAGGGAAAAGGCTGCATTAACACCAACATGACAGAAGATACTAAAAATCAATACATTTGAGTTTGACATACAACAGAAAAAGAAAAATACAAAAATATAGTTTGCCTAACCAAACAATGTATGATACATCCAATTTGTAAATGATGAGTTCCTGCACCAACTGGGTTTCGATATACACATCTTTGGAAGTGTAAGCAGTGGAAGATAAGCAATTTTCATGAAGCAAGTTACTTTTAAGTGTTATGTGGATTTAAACAGCATTCACATCACTGCAACAAGTTACTTAGTCATCAACTAAGGAGAGAGAAAGAGAGTCACCAAGAATGAGAGCGTTGCGAGGAGCAGGGCCTCGGAGATTGCGGAGAGAGAAGAGGGCTCTAAAACGCTCCGAAATCGGTTGGTTTTGGTCCAACAATCTGTCACATAAGAATTTCTCTGTCTCAGGAGAGACTTGGAATGAATTCTCAGAAGAAGCCATTTCAATTCGTTGCTATAACAATTGATATTCAACTGATTTCCGAGAGAGGGGATCAGATATCGAAACCACAAAACCCTAGCTTTTCACAGCAAGAGCTCCATGGTTGCGTTATGAGCAAAGCTAAATTAAAACTCGTATCGGATCCTAAAATAATACCACCTACTAAAGTTAACCCGAACTTGTATTTGAATTAACCCATTTATAGATCCGGAAATGATCCATGGTTACACCCGACCTAACCCGTTTTAAGATTGGGTATAAATTTACTCTGCTGAATTCTCGCCTCTCTCACCTCTGCCCGCTCGTATTTACCAAATTGGTTTTGCAATTCTCTTGCTCGCGCGATTCGGACCTCCCCCCCCCTCTCTCCAGTGTTTCCCATCTCATCTACCCCTTCTCTCACTTATCTCTGCAGAGAGGTTAGGCAAAGAACCGGCAGTGAATTGGAGGTCTGAATCAAGCCATCCGATCCAGGGACCTCACAAGTTCTACGATGAGACTCAACATTTTTTTCTGAATCAAGGTGATTCATCTGGCCCGTGCTGGTTATATAAAGCCTCTATTTGAAAAGGAACCCACGCTGTTCAAAAAGTAGTTTGACAAATGGATTCTGAATTTAAAGAATTGGGTCTTATAGTATGAACGAATGCATTGTGTTTCTCACTTATATTTGCTTGTTCACTTTTTTGTAGTCTGGAGCTGTACCCAGCACTTCACCGGTACTGAGTTAGTGGCTTTTTTGCTACTGAAAGCTCAGGAGATTGAATTTGAGTTTGTAAGATTAAATCCTATGAACTATGATTGATTTTTTTTTTTTCAGATTATAATTTTGATCGAAATAGTTATCTGGATGGTTTGGGAATTTGATTTGGATTATGAATTTGGTGAGACCTTGTAGGATTATAATTCTTTTTGGCTCTGTTTACTTCTCAGTTATTAGAAGTTGACGAAATTGTTCCAAAATTGTCTATTTGTGGTGGTTGAATGTTTGATTTGTATCATTCTATTTGAATTGGATCCGTGTTTGGTTATTGGAGGATTTTTGCTTTGGTTTTCTTGTTGATGGGCTGACGGGTGATATGCGTAATGCATATGTATCCGATTGGTGACCTGTTTATTTAATGGGTTATGACAATCATGTTGGATTAATACTTTTACAAGCAGGCCATGTTTGTGTTAGGTGGTCGAATTGATTGGGTTGTGTTCATATTGAGGGGTTCTTCAAATGAATCTGAAATGACACGACTCGAACAAGATACACAACTATTGTCACCTCAATTTTTTTTGTTTGTAATAATGTGATGAGCAGTCTTATTAGAGGTCCCACCCATAAACTTAAACAGAATGCAAAATTAAATTGCACATTCTGGTATGTGTGATATTTCCATTCAAATATCTTTCTACCTTTGATGATCACACTCTACCTGTCGCATGAGGTTAGGTTTTGCATACCAAATTTAACTACTCTTCCAGAGATTGTGGTAGCTTGGAATTGTAATCTAGGTGAAAGTACTATCCTGATCGCAAAATACAAGTCCACTATAATTATACTTTTTCTGTTTCTATAATACAAAGTTTTCTTCATGCCTCATTTATAATTATGACATCATCCCATAACTGTCACTTTGGATGTTATAATGTAGTCAGAATAAAAATATTTCTTAAAATAGTTGCGCAAAACTATACATTCATCTTTTATGGTATATCAACAAATAATAACCATGTGTTTTTCAGTAATGAATATAGTTATTCATGAAGAATATGCTGGACTTGATGACTTGATGTGGAAAGTAGATATTTTGCCATCGTTGAAAAGAAAGAAAAGTTGGGTCAATTTTCCTCACTTGGTTGTTCAAAGTATTAAATTTGGATATGCGTGGCCCAGATCCAAAGAGAGAAAAAAAGAAAACAAAAAAAGAGAGAGAAATAGTCGGAAGACACACATATCCAGCCTTCAAAGAGTCCACAAACACAAATGTGTGTGGACTCTCTTGAAACTCGCCAATAGGCTGTCAATGTAACTTGACCCCTTACATTTTATAGAACTCTACTGCTAAGCCGGAGGGAGAGAATTTTCCTTGTGCGTGAATGGTGAACCCTCTTTTTGGTTACTAGAGTCACCTACCTCCAGAGGTATGGACAATTGTGTTTATTTCTTATATTTCCATTTCATGACGGAATTTCATCCTTTAGAGTAATATTTTGTTTTATGATTATTTTTGTGGAAATTTCTTGAATTTGCTTTCCGGGATTTCATAATTCTAATTGTTTTATGATAAAATCCTAGACAATGACATTTCAACCTAGTTAGTCAGTTAATTTGGGAACCCATTTCTCCTCATAAACAAGTATACTAATTTGTTGTTCACCTTTAGATCTTAGTAAGTCCTGTGTCAGTTGACTTATGCAAAGTATTAGTGGCAATTTAGTATCTAGTTTGTTGTTCTTAATGAAATTTCTTCATTTTTATTAGGGTTTTGTGATGGGTTTGAGTAAAACCGAAATCAACCTGAGGAGGTTGCTTGAAGCTGCTCCACTGCAACAAAATCAGTCAAAGCTTATACATGTATGTCAAGAGATCTCTCAGGTCACACTGTGAATTGGATAGCGGCACATATGCTTCCTCTCTTCTCGAAATTTATATTTATGGTTTTTAACAATTATGTTTCCAATTTGTAAAGATATTCCATTTACAGTCAATGAACCAAGAGGCATTGGTTTTACATTGTCAATGTGTCCTTCCATCATTTTTGCTTGGAAACCATTATGTAGCGGAGTTCATATCATACTCTTCTTCTTACAAGCATGAGTAGTTTTGCAGTATGTTGCTACGTTACGAGAACAATTAGAACAACTGGCTGAAGAGAGAACTCCAGATGGATTACCAAGGTCTGTGTGCAACTGTGCGTTCTCCCTTTTTGATATATTAGATACTGCAAAGGTCATGATACACCATCATGCCTTCTCTACAATTAGTATTTTTGGGACTCTTATGATGAAAACTATTCATGTGTTAAGACATTCAAGAGTCCATAAGATGCTTAATATTGTAACATTTGTACCTCTTGTTTTCGGTTGCTTTAGGATTTCAAAAGCTATGGTCAATGATTATTCCGAGAAAATTGAAGCAATCGCTGCCAAACTAGTTATCCCTGCGCCTGCGGTGTGTATACTGTCCACTTCTGAATTTCACTTTTTCCATGTTTTGATTTTTTCTACTGTATAGTAGTAATGTCAATGTACAAGAACTAATTGTGAAATGAACATGCTCAGTCAGTAGTGGAATCTATCACATAACCTATAAAACAACAAATGGAAATTATGTTCACAATGGTTTTCCGCTTTCTATACCTTCAAGTTTAATGTTGTAGATGTTTTCATTCATGTCAAGCTTTGTTGTATTGTTTAATTTTAATTCCTAATAGATGGTTCTTCTAATGAGTTTTTCCTTTGAAAAATTCCAGTCTAATATGCAAGTATCTCAGGAGCCTGTTGCTGGAACATCTGTTGGTGGAAGCCCTTCTAAAGCCGAAGCGGAAAGTATTCACCTTTCTCCTGGATTGAGGAGGCGATATGTGTAAGCAATATTTTGATGCATGCTTAAACTCATCCTAGTTCTTGTTATATGCCTTCTTGTCCATTTATATTTTTTTTTATTTTTTCAATATGAATGAAACAGACCACTGTCAACAGTTGAAAATAGAGCTGATGATACTGTTGAAGGCGATCAATCAACGCCCGTAAAATTGGATGCTGCAGCACAGACACATATTGAAAAGCATAGGTAGGTTGCACATACATTCACTTATTATATTAACTGGAATAAAGACAGACAGTGATAGCCATTACTTATAAAAATAAATATACATCCTGTGCTGAACTCTTATGTATACTGGTGTACATGTGTATGATCCATAAAGTTGTTACGGATCAAATATCTTCACCTATATCTCCTTTGGACCTAGTGATCTTGGTCAGTTGGAGTTCTGACCTTTTTGTCCTACGAATGCAGGTTGATTTGAATTGCAAGCTGCCTATTAGTCTATGTCTTCTATTCTGTTACATATTGCTTTTCATCCCACCCTATGTTACCATGACCCTTTGTTGATCCCCATCCCATCCTATGTTACTATGACCCTACCTCTCTTTTTGACTGAACTTTGAGGAGACACTGCCATTTGCAAGTGAGTGTTGCTTACATATTTTAAACTGCTTCGAACCTCTAGTCCACACAAGCCCAATCTTAATACAAATTTAAATATTCATATGTTGGATTTGGATTTCTAGATTTATTGACATTGCATGTTACCACTTACAAAAATGTACACACATATTGCAATTGAATTGAAGAAAAAACATGTTCGTTTTGAAACCTTGGTGAATACAATTTTTGTTCCATTTCTACCGTAAATGTTTGCGAAATTTTAAAAAGATCGTTAAGCTGAGTTTTATTCTGGAGTTGAGTCTTGGATGCAATATCGGTTCTTCATCACCTAGCCAGCACATCAATTGGCTAGTTAGTATTCACAACCATCTTTGTACTGTATTTTTGCAACTTGAGGTTTAAGGAAAGAATGCAAAATTAGAGAGGTAACTGAATAGACTATCTGTTATTTTTGCAGATCATTTGGTTTGTTGTTGCAGATTTCTTATTGCTTTTATTACCTTGAACAGAAAGCTTCAAGAAGACTTAACAGATGAAATGGTTAGCTTGGCACGCCAACTTAAAGAAAGCAGCCTTGTGATGAGTCAATCTCTCCAAAACACTGAGAAGGTAAGTCCCAAAATTTATCATGTAATTCCAAATTAGTTGAACACTTCTAGTTGTCTTAATGTATAGAACTCGAACTCTCAAACTCTCTGTTTATTTAAAGAAAATATGGAATATGATTCGGGACTGAGATAACTACCAGGAGAAGGATTGAATTCAAATTATCCCTACCCATTCGCTTCATATGCTTTGGAGCCTCCTAAATTGCTGTCTCTCTCTCTCTCTCTCTCATGACCCGGCGTTCAGAATTTCAGTGTTGCATATTGTTTGCTTCTTTTTCCGTTAATAATAGTGTTTCAAGTTTCAACTTAAGTCGATGATCGCAGACGTTATAGTGTGGCTGTAATGTGTATGCAGATACTTGATTCAACAGAAAAAGCAGTTGAGCATAGCTTGGCAAGCACCGGGCATGCCAGTTCAAGGGCTGTGGATGTATACTCACAGAGTTTTAAGACCACATGCTTCACATGGCTTATGATCTTTGTAATGACATGTATATTCATTATGGTTGTGCTTCTAATTCGTGTTACTTAGCATATGTTTTGGGTGAGGAACAGCCCTACCCCTCATCACAGAGTTTTTGACTTCCTTCTTGATCAATGACGATTGCAGCATTGACATGGTATCATATTATTAAGCCATTGTCATATTTTATCTTCTAAATCGATCTGTATTTGCCATAGGATTGTCTTTATGGTTGAGAGTTCTTCTGATTGCCGCTACTAAATCAGCAAGCATTTCATTGAGTTGTAATCACTTGCCATCATGGATTTGCAAGTGGAACCCATAAGAGAACACTGGGGCCCATATAAATCAATGGTGGAACTGGAAATCATTGAAGCCAGAAAAATGAGTACTAACCTCTCAATTATTCATTGCTGTTATAAGAGTCTACCTGTAGTAGTACATACATTAAAAATGTAGAATATACAAATGGCTCCTATATACTTTTTTTTCTCTCCAATTTATCCCTGAGGGATCAATATTGTTCCAATGTGGATATTTCATTTCATTGCGTCTCATTAATTAACAAAAGAATACCTCACCACTTTGCAGGGCCATTCCAAAATGTGGCTCCGCCTTCCCCTGCACCTCTACCACGGTAGTTTGACATTTTTGAGTGGTGGTGCAAAATGGCAATGTACGTTGGTTGTATAGTGACAGACATGGTGATTAGTCATGACCCCAGAATAAATGTCGACAATTAAGAGATAAAATTGATGCTAAAAACATTATATTTATATTATAATATAAAACAGAGCGGATTTAACAAGTCTATCATACAATTTCAAATTCATTCATCTAATGATCAAAAACTTAATATTTTATCTCTAATTCTATCGCATTCAATTTTCTCTCTCACCCGATAAAATTTTCGGTGTTTAGAGGGTACCATGCTGGCATGTATATTTGGTACTCAACACCAATAAAAAAAAGCCGCCTCGATAAAGTGTCAGATAAAAAAAAAAATGACACGTTAGTCAAATGAGCTAATCCGGTTAACGGAGGTAACCGTATTTATTTTCTCTCTCCTTTGGCTTTTCTCTCTCCACTGCACTGCATGCCTATCACTTTAGTCGACTTCATCCCTTTCGACGTCCTTCATTGCTGCCATAGAAGATTTATTCTCTTTGAATTTGTATACAACTTTTCGAACTTTACGCTCACTCACTCCCTCTCTCTCTCTCTCTCTCTCAAGTTGCACCATCCGTCTTCATCCCTTTCAAACATGTTTCACGAATAGCCATTTTTTCCGGCAAGTAACATTTACACAGGTACTGATAAAAAAAATAAAAATTCCATAGGTATTGTTTTCTCCAATTTTACATTTGAGTGCTGCTTTTTGTGGGTGGTGTCTAATGTGTCGGTTTTGGCCTTTGAAGGTGTTGTGCATGTGTAGTAGTTGTGCGTGTCTTGCGTGCTTCCATGTGCGTTGTGTGCAATGTGCATGAGTAATGATTGTGTGAGTTAGTGTACGTGTGTCGTATGTATGTGTATGTGTATCAGCATGGAGGAATGAAAAAACAATAATTATTATGAAAAATAACTTGGAACATCATTTTTTTTCTTAATTTTCTCGTATTTAAAGTTGTATACATTTTAAATACAACTCAATTGCTGATTTTTTTTTTTTGGAATATAAATTGTATTCACACATTCATGGGTGCAAATATGTCAAAATGTACAAAAAAAACAAAAGTTCCAAAAATATGTAGATGGTCCTCCTCAGCATGTGCATAACAACATACACATTCTAATTCTTGGAGAAATTAATTTTTCGTTGGAATATCTAATTTAATTTGGTAACAATCCTTCTTAATATCTAATTTAATTTAATTTACTAACTATTCTTAAAATAAGTATTAATTTGCTTTTTACAATTTGATTAAAATTTACTTTTTACATATTAAATTTTGAGTTGATGATTTTTTTTTTAATTTTTAAGTGTTAAAATTCAATTCGAGTTAATTAAAATTTGATTGAATGATTAAAATTTGATTAAAAAATATATCTAATTCAACTTTTTTTTTGTTAAAATTTAAAAAAATATCACCTCACTCAATTCTATTACATGCGCAATCATTTAATATTCAGTTAATTTGTATTTTAACACATTTTTATTTCATATATTATTCATACATGATAGTGTATATATGTTAAAAAAAAATTATCCAGTTATGCATTTTGAGAAAATTGACGCTATTTTAAAAAAAATAATAAGTAGAAATTAATTTTAAATGATGTAAGTAAAGAAATTAATTTTAACTTTGATATAGTGAGTTCAATTTTTTGAACGTTAGAATCTTATATTTCCTCGTGCTTAGTATATTTATGTATAATTTATATTTGTTTTGTTTATTAATTTTTGCATATTTTATGAAAAAAATTAACAAAATAAAATTAAAAATTAAAAATTATAGAATTTATTTTTGTCCATATATATTTAACAGTTGACGATAAAATTAAATTTCCCCAATCAATGATAAACTGTTCGGACTCTTGATAGAGTCCCCAAAAGAAAACACTCTCAAGATGGTTATTTAAAAAAAATAAAAAATTACTAATATCAAATTCAGAACCGACTTCATGCTCTTTTCATATATCTCTACCTCCGTAGTAGTGTCACTCGGTACTTGTCTATCATCGTGTTTCTCTTCCTTTACTGTGTTGCGTAACGTTCCAGCATTCCCTCCAAAGGTACGAGTAGCACACCCCCTCGATCTTTCCTAATTCTCTCATTCAGATCTGGATTTTCTCAGGTTTGATAATTTTCGTCAAAATTTTCGAGTTTCTTGACGAAAGTAAAGATCACTTACTTGTTGATGTGAAATTGCTTTAGTAAATTTTATATCTGACATGATAGATTGTGTTTCTTTAATACATAATTAGGATTCGGAAGTTGCGGCACGTTTTCTGTTTGCAGAAAGGGATCTCTAGAAACTGTGATCTCGTTAGACATGAATGCCAGAAGGTTTGGACCCTGATTTTCTTGATTTGTGTTATTTGATTGTGTACTCACATGTTCATATATCTATATATTGATCTCTGCCGCTAGATCAGTGTAATTACGACTGCATCAAGGTAAGAATATACTCTTGATTAAAACACAGAAACGGACAAATTCTCCAAATCTTTTATTTATTGTTTGAAATTGTTCCTGTGATGCGATTTTCTTTTTTCTTTTCTTAATTCTATGAAATATGATTACTTGGTGGGTACATCTCAAGTCGGTTTTATGGTTTGTTCCAAGTGTGTTCAACTGCTGTTACTGGCTTCATTGTTGTTTGGATAGTGTCTAGAAGTTGAGCAACTAAAGAGCGTTGCGTGGCTGTTGGAAAGCTTGAAGTGAAATAGGATTTCCAAATATTAAGATTACACCTGCCTTTTTTCCATTTTCACAGTAATAAAAAATGAGCAATGCTATTGAGATCTAATTTAATGGCCTAATTTGCTAGCCTAATTTACTGTAACCTTTAGGTTGATTGTGGTTCTATCAAACATTAGAATTTGGTGTTGATCCAATAGTTTCACTAAAGTCAAATCATTTAGGTCCAAATAACATTACTCATAAAGAATACAGATAAACAAAAGCAGTTGACTGTTGAATTTAACTTGGTACTTGAGTTTATGGTGGAGGGTTGGATTTGTTATTTGGCACCAGTGAAGATCATGTGCTTAGACGTCCACTGTAGCTGGCAAATTTGAGATTATTAGAAAAAAAAAATTGTTCAAAATTAGCTAATTTTTCTACAGGTGAGGCTTGATTTTCTACACGTATGGTACCTCCATTATTTGACTGTACTTTACTGGACATAAAAGTTTTATAATGCTTTTCCTTATAGCTTGTTGGCTGAACCACATGCTTTCTGCAATATCTTATTAGCTTATGTCTATTGATTATTGTCCAATTTAATCTTGTTGCAACCATGCCAGAATCGATATTAGATGTATGGTTTCATGTTCAATTTTGTTGAAGAATTTTTTTTTTTCTTTCATTTTTTGTATGGCTTTAGTATATAATTACTTGGTTGCGGGCAAATATTATTATGTTCCATCCTATTTGTTGGTTTTACATTTTTTCACACAATTCTTTGACTATTTTATTGTAGGGAAAAAAAAAACTGTTTTGTGTGTATTTTTTTTTTTTTGGGGGTGGTGGTGGGGGAGCTATCTTTCTGGGGCTGCTGCAGTTATCTGTATTTTTTATGTTTTCTTCTTTCATGTCTCATAAGTTGTAATCATTCTTGGACACAGGGAATACCGTGGCAATAGAGCTGCTCTTTTTGATGGAATTGAGGAGGGTGGTATTAGGGCATCCTCTTCTTACTCCTCACATGAAATTGATGAACAAGAAAATGAAAAAGCAATGGATGGGTTGCAGGATCGAGTTAATTTGCTGAAAAGAGTAAGTATTGTATAAGCAGGAAGTTGGACTGTTAACACAATTGTGGCAGGTTTTGACTGGTCTGCCTGTGCTTAATTAGTTTGCTCAAAATGAAAGAGTACCTTGAGTTCTTTTCTTTGTTGCAGTATATGCTAGATGTTTACGGAGAAGTTGAAAAAAGTCAATATATGGACTCCTATAACTGTTCTCGGCAGGGGATGGCTCTCTTAAACATTTAACATTCGGTTTAATTCCCCGTTTACTTGATTTTTGAGTTTTCTAGCTTTTCATCACAGAGCAGATGGAAGCTGCTACGATTTTTCTTGTTCTATGTAGAGCTGCTCCCCTCAAGGGAACATATCTAGTGAGGGTGATATGACTTAAAACTCTTCTGAAAAGATGATAGCTGTTGCAAATGTATTGAATCTGGCTGAGGGATAATTGAACAAAACTTCTCATTGTGTGTGAAGTGATAGCATCTTCACTTTCGTGGTTCCTTTTCAAACTCTTGATGTTGGGTGGGAGGAGCCTGGTGAGAGAACTGAGGGTGGGTGCTTGTTTGTAATTTGTAGCAATGATATGATTGCTTCTCAGATAGAAGCCAATTGGTTTTTGGGTGAACTTTATCTTAGTAAATTGCTTGGCCTGTGGTTGCACTGATTCTTAAGGTTAATGTATAATCTGGTTTTCCATGGGAAATGAAGTTCAGGACCCCTGGGCCTTCGACTTCGACATGGCATTGCTTCGGCAGGCTTTCTCCCACTGCTGCCTCCCGTAGGCGTTCTGTTGATGTGTCACTGCACATATTCCGAAAGCCGCGAACATGGTTGTCTTTGACAGAAGAGTTGATGATTTGACATTTATTTAATGAATACTAATGCACTATCTATTGATATACCTGGTCATTTTGTATACTTCCTGCAGTTGTGTCTCTGCTGCATAATCCTAAAGTTTCTACGTGCTAGTATTAATGTACATAGTGTCAACAGTTGTCAGGTGATATACATGAGGAGGTGGATGGTCATAATCGTATGCTGGACAGAATGGTGTGTTTTCTGTACTCATAAGTCGAAGTCCTCTGGTTTATTGCCACGGTTGTTATCTCTCTCATTGGTGTTTTCATTTTACAACCATTGCTTTTTTGTCATTCAGGGCAACGATATGGATGCTTCAAGGGGAATTCTATCTGGAACTATGGATAAATTCAAAATGGTATTTGAACCACTTGACCTTTATAAAATACTATAATGTTCAATTTCGCCTTATATTGACTTTTCTTTTTTGCTTTTGGCCTTTTTGTTCTTTTTTTATCAGGTATTTGAGACCAAATCAAGCCGGAGAATGTTCACACTTGTGGCATCTTTCGTGGTCATTTTTCTGATTATATACTATCTCACCAGGTAATTGGTGATGGATTGAAGCCTCTGCTAAGTTTTGTTCAGGCTTGGGATTACTCCATTCATTTTGTTACCATAGTCAGTGTTAGTGTCTGCCTGTCAGATTTCATGGTGAGTTTGTGTAAAGGTACTTGATGCAACAGACATTTGAATGTGTGGAATGGATAGCAATTGCTATGTCAGAACCAGTTGATATTATTTTGGGTTAGATGCTCTAACATGGTATCAGAGTTAAGCCTTAGGTGGTTAGTAGGCAATTAAGTCATGTTTGTTTTTTTATTGATCTCACATGCGAGTCCGGGTCTCACAGAGGAGAGGGTTTTTAAAGAATTTATATGCCACATCAAATAATTAGGATCGTCAATGTTCGTTTACATATTTGAAGGGGTTACGATACTCATTGTCAATTAGTTTGATTTGGTTTGGATACTCATTATAATATGGTATTAGAATGAGCCTCGAGTGGTTAGTGGACGAAGCATCTTACTCATATAAATTTCTATGTTTTCATGGTTGTTTACTTGTTTGTTGATAGTTGCAATGGCATGAACTTCTTCCTCGGGAATCATGTTTTTATGTATGGTCTTCGCGGAGTTTGTTAGCCAGCCTAACACAATGGTTAACGAATATTAGTCGTGTTGCAGGTTTGATTATGCCAAGAGCTCCATGATTTGAAACCATTGTCCTTCTAGGAAAGGTCAAACAAGGATAGGAAAAACATGAAAAACATCTAGGGGCTTGTTTTGTTTCTTTTCTTTTCTTTTCATCTGGGTGGAATTTGTGGGGTTTTTTTTATATGAGGTTGTGGGGTGGGGGAGAAGGATGAAAATAATGAAACCTTTGGGCATGGTCGGGCAGGAATTTTTTTTTGTGGTCGACGGTTAAGGGTGTCTTTATGCATATTTTGATTAATCTTCTCTTTTGTTTGGTCAAAGATAATCTTCTCTTCGGTTTGGTCAAAGATAGATTATGCACGCTAAAATTAAAGTATTAATGAAGAATAAATTTGTTATAGTTTAACCTCAAAAAATTATTGAATCGATTAATCCCCTCTCTGGCTTCATTAAGGTATTCATAAAGAATAAATTTTTAACGGTTTGACTTAAAAAAATTGCCAAAATTTGAATTGATGATGTATGAGTTAATAGTTGGAGCGGGATTTCACTTGCCTATAGCCCAAGAAAAACACCGGGCATTGCCTATTTCATTTGGTTCAGTGCTCTGATTCTCTCTCTCAGGGAGTCCGGAGCCAGTGGGAGATCGAGCTGCTTCCAAATTTAACCTTAATCTCAGCATTCTGAGCTCCCAAAATATTAAGACAACGGAAGCAGTTTTGCTTGCACATAAAGAATAACTAAGGACCTTACATGGACGAATCTCATATTTATTATATTCTCTGAAGCAAAATGTGCGTTTCGTTATTTGTTTAAAATTCTTTTGTTTTTCAAAGAATTTGAAATACAACATTTAGAATACCTTGGGATTATCTAAATTAGCTAATGAACATCAGAGCGAACATCACCGTCTGGTGCTTCAAAGTGTATGATATCTTTTCCATCTCAGCGGAACATCGAAAGTTTATGAGGCTGAATTCTAAATGCTTTGTGGAGGATGGAATAGGTATGTAGGTTGACAGTCGAATTGTGTTGAATTTTAAGCAATTTTAATTATGTCTATTTAATTAGACGTTAGATTGTCAAATTTAACTCAAGGATCTAAACTCTAAAAGTTTAAGTTGTGCACTCATAGGGGTGATTTAGATGTGTGTAGTCACTATCGATTTGAAATGGTTAAGTGGGATATCGATCGAATTTCTTATTCTGAGATTAAAAATACGAGTTTTAGAGTTCACGTTGGCCCATCTAAGTTCATTTTTGAAAATAGTAACGAACGTGATCCAAAATCTTATAATCTCACTAATAAAAACCTGTCGGAATTATTTCTTATCATTCTCTTTGTTCCACCCTTCGTTTTTCACAAACCAGAAAAAAAAATGTGTGGAGTCGGTCAACTGTGTCTCTGGATGAGTCCAGGAAGATTGTTTGGTGCATGCCACGTGGATGCTTGTGTAATACTCTCTCATTCATATTCATGGGCTGGTGGCAGATAATTAAGTATTGTAGGCCCAAGAAAAAAGACAAAAGATACTAAAGAGAGAGATTAAAAAATTGAATTGCACCAGCCGGGAATCGAACCCGGGTCTGTACCGTGGCAGGGTACTATTCTACCACTAGACCACTGGTGCTTTGTTGACGCTGAATATATTTTTAATCTCATAAAATATGGGTGAATACCCCTTCTTCATTTTCCATATTCTGATGGTCTGCTTGGTTTGAACTTCTAAGAACCACCACATTGTTAACCTTTTAGTTTTAGAGATGGTTCAAGGTTATGGTGTTTTCATCAAGTCGGATAGTGCAAAAACACATTGATCACTATGCATAAAATGGTTTTAAGCGATTTACAAAATACTAAAAAAACACAATGTAATATTCAAGACATATATGGCCTCACGGAACATTATCAATCAATTTGGTGATGATACTTAGGGTTAACTCGGAGATGTCTCAGTATCAAGCTGTGTGGGACTCATGAGATTGTGTGAGGCTTGTGATTTATATGGAAGGTTGAACAGTAACAGATTGGAAGATGATGTGTTGATCGATACTGTGAGACATGCTTTAGTGGGCTTGAGCGGTTGATCTGGCTAGCAGCAAATAATTAAGTCACTGCGAGGTACATGGTAACTAGGAATTGAAGTGCAGACGAGTGACTGCACGTAAGAAATACTAGTAGCAAGTGAAGTTTAATTAAGAGGGACTTGGAAAGGGAAATCAATGAACACAAACAATTTATTGTCTCTAGAGAGAGAGAGAAACTCCAGAACTTTTGGAAATGAATTAAGGGCCCTGGCACTTTTCATGAGAGAGAGATAATTGGGGTGATTAGAGGAAAACTGGCATGTCTCAAACTGGACAACCAGTTCTGCAAGCACCTGGCCAAAACCTGGCAATGAGCAACCACTTGTTGTAATGGCCGACTTTTTCATTCACTAACCCGATGGCTGCTAATCTTTCTAGGCTAGACTTCCTAAGGAATGTAGCACCTTAATTACACAGATTATCTCTCTCTTTTTGGGTTTGTTTTACCATAGTCGGGTGATCTTGCGCTTGTCACAGTCTCTTTTTGTTCACTTTCTTTTTTATGTGTTGTTCATGATTAGGTGGTGCAATATTAGGCTTCTGTAATCCGTCAATGGTATCAATTCAAATTACATATTTCATGCAAAATCAGTCACAATATTCGTCCAGGTACTGAAAGGAGGAAATATTGACTTTTCTAAACAGTTTTTACCATCTGTATCAACTTGAAATTCCAAAAGAAAATAACTACAGTATGGTATATCCATGGATTTGGACTTGCCGGGGCCATATATGAAAAAAAATAAGGATGATAGATGAAGCCAAGCAAGGTCTGACCTAGCCTCTTTCTGGAGAGTATAAATAAGCCATTGCAGGCCAAAAGAAACATGTCCTGCCTAATGTTCTTTGGCCAATAGTATAAGAACAAGTCAAGGTTTGGCCGCACGAATCGAAAAATTATTCTTGGTTGGCTTTATAATTCGATATAGTGGAATTTTTCATTCCTAACACTTTTGATTATTAGTAGAGGAGGATTACATAATAGAAGACCTCATGGCTCTGGGTTTTGAAACCTTTGTTTCTGTTTTATGTCACTATACACATAATGTTCCTTTGTTGCAGAAAATTATTTTGAAACCCCAAGAAAAAGTGCCCAAGACTCATACCTGTGCTAGCTGATCTCCCACACTTAAAAGTCCTTAAAGGTTTCTTGAGAAGGGGGCAAATAGCTAGGCACCACTTAATCCACAGGGTCACTGATACACACATTAGGGTCACAAGTCTTCAGTATCATTGTTTTAAAAAGTCAAATAACATGACCTCCAAGCGCACACATACACACAAATGTTCAAACAAAACTAGAAGTGTAATTGCATTGTCAAATTCTCCGAATGCCCTCATTTTGCTTTCAAGTCAAGCAAACAAGCTTTAAATCATATCTCCTTTTGAGTCGTATTACTTCAACACTCAGCAAGAAAAATTCATTGCAACATATTAAGTGGATATATTTGGTGTTGAGGAACCAAGTGAATTTCAAACTAAGATTATCAAACAAGCTATCAAAGACCGGCTCTTGTCTACTAAGTTCAAGAACTCCCCTCAGAATCTTAGGATGCTGCAGTTATGGGAGCTCCGACACAGCTGCTGAACATGATCTATCTTCATTTGTATACTGCTTTTTTCTTTTGGTAACTCAGGACATGAATTCTTTGGGAAGTACTGATGATAATCTATTCTTCCCACTGAATTTTTTTCCTAGTTCTTCTTCCTTTCTAGATGGACAACATTTGTGGGTTGTTTCTTCCATTTTGCTCTAGTAAAGCAACTTTATCAGTACATTTTTACCTTTTGGAATTTCGAACTAAGTAGAAGATTCATATCCTACTAAGACTTTTGACATCGTACAAATAGTCCACAACAAAGCTGCATGCTCTCTTTTTTCTTTTTATGTTTTTTTTGGAAGAAGATACTGAATAAGACGAATTACATTGCTTCTGGCTATTCTTATGTATCTAGTGCTTTTCATTGTTGAGAGTTTTTTCCCCAAGAAAAATAGACCGACCCTTAATGACAATTTAGTGTGTGAGAAAGCAAGAACTCCCCCTTCTTCCTCAAAAACAATGTAATCTTCTTATTTTTGAACTGAAAGATACATCTCCCAATGCTTGAACCATTGGCTTAAAATGACTCCCAATAAAAAACCCAAATAAGTCTTAAGCTGAAATGACTTAAAACTACAATCTAGACCTATTTCCCTTCATTTTCTGAACTTTCACACCTATTTTCCCAAGATCTACTCATTTATTTGGTAATCTCATTTAAGAAATTCTCTCAATTCGATTACTGGATCAACAATTTTTGCAAT